TTTTTCAAATTAACAAAAATACAGCATTTTTAAATGATGTTTAGAATCTTTCGATTTACTGTTTCAAGCGCATTATCAGTAGCATAGAAAATTAAGTACTTTATAACCACAAGTATTTAGTAGAACAAATTCATTTAATTTGGATAAGAAATCTTCTGAAAGTGAAATTTATATTAATTTCTATGATACGAACATTAATTTCTACAATTATACAAGACAACCTTTGACCTTCCACGCGATTTTCTTTGATATGGATATACACATATATTTGTAGATGATTAAACAATATGGAAACAAAATAGATTCCATTCAAGTGCATGCAAACATGATTAATTAAATATAAAAATAAAATATAACTAGAATTCCCTTGAACTAATATTGCTGTGAATCATGAGTAGAGTGAACATGTTAATCGCATTCTAATTATATCAATTGCATAAATACAATAAAATTTACAGTTCTGTAATTTTTTACACGTTTTCTCTTTTACACGGTTTAAAAAAAAATATTTTGTTTTGCATGCTTTTCGATTTACACGGGTTTATATTAAAAAAAAGTTACAATTTCAATTTACACGTTTTTTTTTCATGAACCTATCTACTGTGTAAATCGGGGTTAGGTGTACTAATTTATTATTTATAAAAAAATAAGTTATATAAATTACTAACAAATAAATACTTTGTTTAAATAAAATCAAATAAAATTAAACGTATGTTACTTAAATCTATTAACAAAACTTAGTATGATGAAGTAATTAGTTGGATTTTTATTGGAATTACAATGAATTTATTAAATTAAAAATACATAACGAGTGACGATGAGAAGAGAAGTCCCGGATTTCGCGAGCTCCATCACTTTGTGTATACATATTATGTGTATTTTTGAATATGTTTCACTATATGAGTAAAAATCCGGAAATTCTGGAACGGATTAAACTCGTTAAGCGAGGTTCCACTGTAGTGGGAAAGAAATAATAACTTAATGAAGATTGACTATTTGTGTGTTCTTTAGATGGCAAGGTCTCAAAGGTAACGTGATGGAAACATCACCTTTCTAGTTTTTCTTATTTATGGTTGAACATTTTAACGTCAAGGATTGCAAACCGAAATTTGAATTTAAACGAGCCGGTGCGATTATTTTTTTTGCATTTCTTGGAACGGTGATAATCGTAGACAAGCTATGCAAATTGCAAACAAAACACTAGCAAAAATATCTTCCATTCCAATGGAAGTGCTTCTAATGTGTGTGTTTTTTTTTTATCAAAGTGACATTTGTCTACAAAGCAATGCGTAAAAGTACTCACACGTAAAGATTTTGCTGATTTTATCACGAACCTCTGGACCGGACCTTTCTGGGGTGGATGAGTCGAGGGTGGCGTCAATTATTATGCACGGGAAATTTCGCGAGACTGGAATTTGTTTGGGTCGTGAGGACAGAGGGAGAGAGGATAAATGACGTGAATAATTTGACAACTATAAAGATAGAAACAAAACTGTATTGGTATATAACCATGGTTACGGGCAAACAAAAGGTATCCAAAAAGTTTAAAGTTTTGAAAAAAAAAAACAACAACCGCATCCACAAAACAAAAAGCAACGTATAAACAAAAGATGAAAACAAACGTTTACTAAGAGTTCGGATCTAATGCCAAAATGATTTAGTATTATTATATATGTTTAGTGTCTGCCAAAAAAGCAGCTTCCCGAGTGCGGTGAGCCGCTTCGTTTTAATGGTGTGCCGAAACTACTGTATTATTACCAAGGCTACGACACAGGCAAAATGGTTTTGTAATTTTCGCTCGTTGAAAGACTACGAGTGGACTAGAGCGAAAAACAGAGACAGAAAAGTTTCGTAACGAGCGCTTACATATATATATATATTCATGTGCAACTGTGTTATCAACCATGCAAGTTGCCATGGTCAAGCAAGCAAGTGCATCGGGAAAAAAATCCGCGAATGGAAAACCTGCCCGGCCAATCCGCAATAAACAAATATTACGCAACTGAGGATGTTTTTCCCCGCAACCGATTCAAAAAGTTTTCCGCCGAAGCGACATCTATTCGCAGCTACGATCACAAAAAATAAATATTTTCAATAATTTCATTTTCAAATGCAAGCTTTCACCTGCTAATATCATTGAAGAAACAATATCATTGAAGAAAATAAGAGTTAATTAAAATAAATCGACTGATTACGTAACATAAATTTTCATCACAAACACCTATAGGATGTTATTTGAACTAGAATCAATTTGAATAATTTTACAATGCAAACGCATTCGAAATGAAGTGAACTATTGATGATTTGTAATTGTAATTAGATCGATAGTTAAGTTTAGAACGACTGTGCACCTTGTTCACATCAAAAACAAACTGCTTTAAGCCGATTATAAGCGATTTGCTTATGCAACATTTACTCGGCTCGTTTGTACAAAACATCAATCGAATCGTCCCTCTATTATTTTTTTTTTTCACTACTCAATGCACTCACTATGTAATAGAATTACTGCTAAATTGCTTCGATTAAATTCATTAACTCTCATTAATTTTCCGCTCGCGTAAATCGTACCAAAGTCGATGTTGAAACATTCTGAAAAAATCGATAAATTAAAATTAAAATACATAATTTGATTGTATAAACTTACAAATTGAAAATATTATTATATAATATTGTAAGCATTGCTTTTAATAATTAGTGAATAATTTTTTTAAAAACAAACTAGACTTTGAATAAGACGCATAATCCATTGAATATATTAAAATTTATAAAATTTAAATGAACATGGTGTGTAATTTTATAGAAGACGCGTAATTTGAATATAACTTTAAAATTTAAAATCTGTTATAGGCAACTTTACATACAGCTCAATATAAAATTACATAAACAATTTATATTTAAATTATTGGCTATCCTTTGGTTTTTTGCAGAGAGTCGAACCGAAATTAATTTACGGTTTACGGTTACGTTCCAAGTAAATATTTATCGTTCCAGTTTCGGTTCGTCTAAAAATTTCGGTTCAGTTCCGGTTGAAATTAAAATTTAAAATCGAGTCCAATATCAAATTTTGATTTACCAAATTCCCTTACTATTGTTTTAAAATATAAAATTGAAAATACAAAAGAAATAAAAATTGTTTAGTGACTAGTTCAACACATGCACTTTGTAAAGTTTCTTCAGTCATGTTTACAGTAATAACTTTTTTAATCACTTTTGAGTTTTTTTTTAATGTTAGTTGCGCAAGACTGCTTGCCCTTTTTTCTTCTTGAACCGAAATTAACCTTAATTAAAATTTCGCTCCTGTTTCGGTTTTTCAATTCAGCATTTTTTCGTTCCGGTGACAATTTCGGTTTACGGTTCGGTTCCGTTCGACTCTGGCTTGTTGTAATTTATGAATATACAGTTTTATAACACTGCAAAAATTCATACATTTTCGCTATAAGTAATATACGGTTTCACAATATACGGTTTCACCGTGATTATGTAATTAGTGGTAATCTCAAACTTTTTGGTCGGGTTCCGGACCTTTTGCACATACAAATTTTAAAAGACCTCCGGAAAGATTGGGTATGTGTAGAACAACATTGAGACGGAATATTTTCTACACATACCCATCTGTCATTAATTTTTCTGCTATCCCCTAAATAGTTTTGACGACATTGACAAATTATATTTTTGGGTTTCCAAAACATTTATTTTAAAACACTATAAAAATATGTCTTAGCTTGCAAAGCCTGGGTCCCTAGACACGTATCTTATCAACTTAATGGGTAATTCATCTCTGTAGGGCCCATCAGAGTTTTTGGGGCTCACGAAAAAATATGTGGAATAGAATATATATTTTGATGTTAACTCTGCATCAACCATAAGGATTTTCAGTTGTAAGTTTTCCAAAAATATTTATGATATTTATTAAAAAAATATCGTATTTGTTCTTTGCATTTACCTTGAATAATATAATAGCATAAAAAAAATGTATTATAACAACCTTTATCAGTATACCGTAGTAAATTGATAGTCTATCAATAATATGTAATTATTATGTTGACTCGTTAGTATAATTGTAAGAAATACTAATATTTACTAGTTACGCACACTAATTATAAATTAATTGTTTTGATGCCACCTCGATTACGTTTAACAACAACAAAACGAAAATAGAACAATTTTCGCACATTTTAATTTTGCACATTTCATAAAAAAAACAATTTCATAAAGTTTTCTGTCAATAACAATGTTCGCAACAAATGTTAGGGCACTGGGCAAATTGTATTTAGAATTATATAAAATATTTAAAAATTGCATTAGGCTGTCAATTAATTTTTCTGTTATTCTTCGCAATTAACAAGAAAAGCCTAAACGTAAATATCTTATTATTGAATATAAAATTATTTAATTATTTTAATCTCTGTTTTTAATTATATTAATGAATATTCTCTCGTTAATGATTTAACTGTTATTTTCTTCAAAAGATTATATTTAAATTTCCATGTATTTCTATATGTTTCTATGTTGTTGTAAACGCTACTTTTCGGGTGTTATTTACGGCCAAATAGGTGTAATTATAGTAATCTATGAATAATTGCTACATTTCCCAAACATCCAGCTTTCATATGCATCTTTTGGATCGATTCTATGTATTATAGTTCTCAAGAAATCAACAAGCAACATGTTGGGGTAATGGGTGTATAAAATTCGGTCTAAATAATATTATTTGTAATTAATTTATTGATGCGTAATCTCGTAATCGCATCATTTTGATTGGCGAAAAGAATGGATTGAGATAATTGTCCCTAGATAATTAAAAGCGAGTCTTGGAGAGTTGAGATGTTCGGTAAAAATAGAAGAGCCAACGCAATTGTAACCCTAATCGCAGATTATGACCTTTTATGTAATAACATTTGGTGAGAGCAAAAAAAAAGCGAAGATCTGATATGATCATCTGTAGAGCAAACAACACGCCATCAGGCAACATATACCGTCGATTCAGACAGAGCATATAAACGGCGCTGCCGATCAGGTTTTCCCGCAGTTAGCTCACAGGACGTGCTGTAGTTAACTTCGCACGAAGCTTCCAAGGGAATTTCCAACAAACGCAGGACCATATGTTAGTTTATTTTCATTTATTATTTAACCCTATGCTTAAGACAACTTTATTCGTGTATTTACATGATTTAATGTTTTATTTATTTATTTATATATTTTTTTTTTTGGGGTAATAGTTCTGAAGATGGCCAACCGCTGCGAACTGAAGACATCGGCGTGTCCTCGTGCGGAGAAGACCTGTGTGATCAAGAAGGCCAAGATGTCTTTCGATATGAGCAAATTCGTGAGGCCAGATCAACCCTCGAAGTGCACGTGGAAGAAGGGGGCGGATCCGAAGTCGTCGCCCCATTCCACCTTCAGGATGTGAGTTAACAAACAAAAGTCCGAAAAGAACTAATGCCGCATCCTCATTAACCTTAAAGCGACCCGCATTTGTTTATCTTTGACATCAAGTAGCATATGCATTTGTACTGTTTGCATATGCAAATCGCTTTGTATTTCTGTTTCCACTTACTAGAGACAACAATGGACCTATTGAAAACGCAAATAATAGAGGAAAAAAAACTGTTTAGCGCCAAAATGACGATATTTTTTCCGTTGATGCCACCGATTCGACCGTAACAATTATCGTTCATTGTTAATCAATTGAATACATTCAAGGCCGCCCTATCACGAATTATGTAATATAAACACGGATTTCGCCATGTGCTATTTTGATATTAAGGTTGCCTATCATATCGAATTGTGCCTATTGAAACATACTGCAAAGCCAAAAGGTCTCTAATTCTTTGAAGATTTACAATCACACATATGATTTTCTTGAAAATGAATTTATAGATAAACATTTTTCATAAACAAATAATTCAAATAACTCAATTGCAAAATCGTTTCAGTTATCATACGATTAATACTTAACATCGTCATCATCTGTTTGCGTATGCAAATTGCTTTATTTTTCTCTTTTGTCAGATTGTTAATGTACAACTCAATTTGCACATTCATGCATAAATGAAAATTTACAATGATTTATTTGAATTTCTTTGAACAGCCAGAACGACGGTGGTCCGATTCCGAACATCCTCCATCACATTGGAAACACGCCGATGGTAAAACTCAACAAAATCCCGCAATCTTATGGAATCAAGTGCGATGTTTGTAAGTGAATTCGTTGATGTTCTTCGAAGTATTTTTTTTTAAATAAGAATATGTATTTGTTGTAGATGCTAAATGCGAATTCTTCAACCCGGGTGGTTCCGTCAAGGATCGCATCGCTTTCCGTATGGTCGAAGACGCGGAGAAGCAAGGTCTCTTGAAGCCAGGATATACCATTATCGAGCCGACTTCAGGAAACACCGGTATCGGTTTGGCTTTGGCTGCTGCCATCAAGGGTTACCGTTGCATCATCGTTATGCCCGAGAAGATGTCCAACGAGAAGGTGGACACTTTGAAGGCACTTGGAGCCGAGATCATCCGGACACCAACCGCTGCTTCATTCGAATCTCCGGAAGGTTTAATCGTCGTGTCTCAAAAATTGCAGAGCGAGATTCCAAACTCGATTATTTTGGATCAAGTAAATTGGAGTTCATCAAATCAAATGATTTCAATAGTTTAACGTGTTTTCATTTCAGTACAGGAATCCGGGTAATCCTTTGGCCCATTACGATACAACAGCCGCCGAAATTTTGGAGGCTTTCAACGGAAAAGTCGATATGGTGGTACGTATTTGATAATTGATTTAAAAAAAGTGTATCTATGTTTGTAATTAATTAACTTCTTAGGTTGCTGGTGCTGGAACCGGTGGTACCGTATGCGGTATTGGCCGTCGCATGAAGGACTCCTGCCCTTCCTGCATCGTCGTCGCCGCCGATCCTGAAGGTTCAATCCTTTCTCTTCCGGAATCCCTCAACAAAACCGATGTAACCTATTACGAAGTCGAAGGTATCGGTTACGATTTCGTGCCCACCGTTCTGGATAGATCCGTCGCCGATCTGTGGGTCAAAGTTAACGACCAAGAGGCTTTGCCGATGGCCAAGCGCATCATCAAAGATGAAGGATTACTTTGCGGTAAGCACTCAAAACGACGAATACAACATCATTGTTATAATTTCAAAACCTTCAGGTGGAAGCAGCGGTTGCGCCATGGCTGCGGCTCTGAAAGCGGCGTCCAGATTGAAGGAAGGCCAAGTTTGCGTCGTTGTTCTCCCCGACGGTATTCGCAACTACATGACCAAATTCGTTTCCGATCACTGGATGGAAGCCAGGAACCTCCAAGAATGTGTCAACACTCAAAACCACTGGTATTTACACAACGCAACGAACAAAATAATGCATGCTAACTGGAATTGTTTACAGGTGGTGGGACGAAAAAGTATCTAAATTACCTCTTCAACCACCAATGAGCTTATTGCCAAGCACGACCTGCGCGAAAACTCTCAACGTTATGAAGAAACAAGGTTACGATCAAATGCCGATCGTTGATAAAAATGGGTAAATTCGGCGTTCAATATTGGTAAATTAGTGTTTATATGTTTTTCTTTATAGAACCATCGAAGGTATGGCAACCATCACCACTCTCATGGGTAAACTGGTGAATTCGTTCGTGAAGCCCAACTGCCCAATCAGCAAGACCACAGTTGCAAAATACAACAAAGTCAACCCGAACACCTCCCTCGGTTTAGTTTCAAGGATGTTGGAAAAAGACACCTACGTCCTAGTCACAGACAGTAAATAAAAAAGCAATTCTATAATAAGTGTTAAATTAACTAAATTATCTTTTTGTAGTGAAAGATTCCAAGGAAGTGATTTTGGGCATCGTGACAAACATCGATTTGCTCCACTACATCACCGAGAAGGAGGCGAAGAACGGCAGCGAATGAAAACACAAGACCGATCGGCAAAATGTTTCTTTTTTATATACTTACAAATAAAAAATAAAGACAAATAAATAATCTCGTTAAGATCTTTGGACCTGAATGTGGAACTTGCAAGAGGGCATGCTTTGCACCTCCGCAGTTACTAAACTGTTGATGCCCAAATTGGCCAATCCGCCTCTGACTACGCCGCACGTGAACGTCACGTAACGCGGAGCCAGCTCCAAATATTGTTTACCATTAGAGATGTTGTTCAGAAATCGGAATCCGTTGTCCTGCAGCACGTAGACGCCTTGGTGGTTGGTCCGCAAGTTGTCTATCTGTTTCCTATAGATCGCCGTCCAAAAATCAGTGCATATGAATTTCATCGTGTCCAGCTCATCTTTGAACCGAGGCATTTCCTTTGTTAATCTGAAAATGCACATAAAATTATAATAATATAAACAAACAAGATTTAGCATTGTTTATTCGCCGTCATAAATTTTGAAATAGAAGTCTGCTTCAACAGGAAGGAACGTGTTTACGACTGTTTAGTCTACATTAATAAATAATGTTTTCTTTCAAGTCCATAAAGATTATAAAGCCAACAAACTTGTTTATAACATAATTATTATATTTACTTAACAGAAGTCACCTAAATATAGTGAGCAAATTTTTGAGACATTTTGAATGAAAATAATATGAATTTACGTATCCAAAAATACTGCATATTTAATAAATAAGTTTAATTGAGTAAATATTTATCTGTTATTAAAACTTTATCACCTCGTTTCCATTGCACTAAAATAATACTAAATTTATGTGATATAGAACATGTAACTTATGTATTGTAAGTTGACAAATATGCCTAATGGCTTGATAATTATTGGTCAGTGATACATGTATCATGTCACGCATAGTGCGGATGCAGCATTATAAATGGTTTATAGATAATCGAATTAAAATATACACAGATGCAATTGAAGTTGCCTATCTTGTTTTTAGAAAAGTTAAATATTTTCTTTCCTAACGCTATAAACAATAAGTCTATACTCTGTTGTAATTATCTTTGACTATACTGCTCACCTTTCTATCATTCTGTATCCAGTGGAAAATCCCAAGTATTCCAAATTTGATAAATCTTCGTCCTGCAGTAAGTTTATTGATTTAGTTAGAATGTATTGCAAAGGATTTAACTCACTTTGGCATCTTTGTTTTTCAGCTCGCTCTGCTCGATTACATAGTTAACAAGTTCGGAATGTAAGAAATCGAATACTGTTTCGTCTGCCATTTCTTCTAGCGCAGAAACGGTACTTCCTGTATACACCTGTATATAGCTGTTGAGGAAAATATCGAACGCCGTCCTTTGTAGGTTAATACAGCAAATGTATTGTTTTTTTAAACAGCTGATGTGTATGAGCGATGAGAGCGCCCTCGGAGTCAAACTAAAATCTTTTTATCGCAATATGGCAGCAATGTCATAGTGCTGGTACGTACTAGAAAAGATCGTGTTCCGTAAAAATGAATTCAGTTCTGTTCTGCGTGGTCTGCGGTAGCAACGAGAAAGTACACAGGTGTTCGAGCTGCAAGTCAACGTACTATTGCTCAAGAGAACATCAGAAACAGGATTGGAAGCGTCACAGAGAAGAGTGCAAAGCACGCATCAACGGACGCGCCACCAACATCGAGCATTCTGTGGAGCAGCATCAGGGGAACCCCCAGTTGCCAGACGAGGGTAGCTCTGAAAGCGAAATACTGAGATCACAGGCCGAGTGTTTAAATCCGCATTATAAGGAGGACAAGACACCGACTGAGAAAGCCCTGAAATCTGCCAGGACAGCCATGCCAATCAGTGGAGAGAACATTGTACATCCCAAGAGACCTGACTTTAAGGACTTCCCAGAGAGTTCGCACTTCTTGCATGAGGCCCACAATGAGACAACAAATGGGATCTGCAGGAATGTGATCCATGACATGGATGCATATGGTGTGTGTGTTGTTGACAATTTTCTGGGTGATGGTCAGGGGAAGGCAGTGCTGTCAGAGGTGCTCGATATGTCCACCAAAGGGGTATTTAAGGATGGCCAATTGGTTAGCAGCAATGGCAGACAAGATCTGAAGACCATCAGAGGTGATCAGATCACATGGATTGATGGTAGGGAGCAGCATTGCACTCAAATTGGAAAGCTCATCAGTCGGGTTGATGCTATAATCATGAGAGCAAACAAAATGTACAATAATGGTAAACTGGGAGACTATAACATCAATGGAAGAACCAAGGTAAGAATTGAAGAATAACAAAAAGATTGCAAAAAGATTTTCAAATATCAAAAGTTCTTCATGTTTAAGGTTATGTCGCTGGCATCGACATAGTTCCTAAGAAGAAATGTAACAATTCATTACAGAAATCACACGCAATTCCTAATTAATTGAAACATTCCTCGTGAACAATCGTTCAATCAAGCAATAAACGTTTGTTTACCAATCGAAGATTTGACATGTGTCAGATTTTTAACTAAAATTGTAAACAAGCGAGAACGTTTCAACAATATACGAGAAAGTTTTGCATGGAACTTCTTCTAAACTCGCACAAAGTATTTTTATAGTTTCTAAATATAAAATGGCGCTCCGTTAAAATCGCCCACTTGGACGCACTTTGTTTTCGCTCCTCACAAGATCTACGATTTCAAAAATAGGAAAACGAAAGAAGGCAACTTATATTGCAATCGTTTAGAGCGTTTAGCGCTTCCTGCTTCACGTTTAGAAAGTTGCTATCACGAACATATTTTGGCATTTAACAAAGCTAGAAATTGGGTTAGCGTTCTCCGAGCGATCATATTTGTTTGTTTGTAAACATGTGTATTTTCTATACAATCTATAGCGCAAGCAAACACAACTGAACTATAAACAATTATAAATCCAGGCTTCATATAGATTTTCCCTCTGGAAACTGCAATTTCGTGAAATCATCCTATATTTTTTTTAAATACGCCTTAATCTGAAATTGGAAAATAATGGATATCTGGATAAGTCTGGTAGCGTGGAGAATATGCGTGGTCTATGTTTATTTACGAGTGCGCTCTCCGTTGCACTCGCTTCGTTCACGTGCGCTTCTCTCCTTCTCTCGGCTTTAGATCGGAGCATGCTTTTAGTCACGTACGCAAAATCCCATATATATATATACGATTTGTACCTCGTGTTTATTGTTTTCGTCTAACACAGCCAGGATTCTTTTCCCATACACACATACAACTCGCAGTTTTAAAAACCCAAAACCTCTTTAATTCTTCTCTCTCTCTTATTGGACTAACGAATGAAATAACAACGAAACAACGTCATCGATCCATGAAATTGCTCTTCGGTGACGCAACGCATTGTTGACTTTCCTGCTATCGTAGTTTCTCTGCAATATCTATAGGATTTTCCCAAACTAAAGTGAACTCTTTTGAACGAAGCCCAACGATGTAATTTATTTTTTTTATTGAAACAAACCAAATAAACAAATATACACACAACATTATTTGCTTACGAAACCAGTAACTGTTTACACTTAAACATTGCGGAGATCGTTCATTTCGTATTGCGCATTTTGTATGGTAACGAAACATCATCATCATCATCCATCGAATCACGCCAAAAGCACCGGAAGAAAACATCAGTTACGCAACGTCGTAAATCGATTTTAACATCATCTCTTTTTCTTTTCTCTCCAAAGCGAATGGAAAATAGAAATTCACTTTGAATAATTACTTGGATACGTGGGAGGAGAAACAAGTTCTCTTCTCGTGATTCTAGCGAAACGTTTTAAAAATTAAAAGCAACATCAATTTTGCAACTCGTCCAATTCGCGTGATTACCAAGAATATTGGATATTTAGAATTTCAAATATTTACTTTTTGATCTGCATCTGGGAACAGTTTATCGCTGCATAATAATATTTACATAGGTTTTCACGAAAGTTAAACAACTTTTATCGCAGATTGGGTGACCAATTTTTTGATCAATTATTTCAATCTATTTTGCATATAAATATTGTTTAATATTTTTTGGGCATTTAAATAATAATTGCCGAGTGACGCATCGATGAATGAAGTGATGTCCAAAGCAGGAGTTGTTGTCATAGAAACATCTCGATGGGGGTTCTATTTCAGTCGAGATTTATAGATTTTTTTAGTAGTTATGGAAACAAGTTGAAATAGAAGAAAGAGCATGCGTTGCGAAATTTAGAAATTTGAATCGCCAATAAATTCGTGATCCTAATACTCATCGATTTAAATATTGCAACAGCATAAATATTTAAGAATCTAAAGGACAGAAGACTGTTAGATTTCTTTTTTCTAATGGATATTGTTAGTGGTTTTGTAAAAGCAGTTAACTTTTTTTTTGGGGTTCAATGTCCTGTGTGTAAATCCGTTAATCTCTTAATTAAAATGCAATGTTTTACTTAATTCATTTTGATATTACGTTTACGTTTCTTGATTAAAAATAATGACTTCGTGTTACTGAATGAACATCATACAAATAGTAAATATACTTAGTATTTACTGTAAACAAAACGCATTGAACCGTAACGATCAAATGTTAGTTATTGGATCAACGTTATTCGCGGACACATTTTTGTTTATCCACAGATGCCTTTGGTTGCTTGAGCATTGCCGGATGCTAAAATCTTTCGACAGATACAGGAAGCGAGTAATTAAAATTCCAAACGTTGTAATTCAATTCCGGTTGTATTCTTCAGTATTCATACTTTCAAGTCTTTGTTCTATACTACATTTATCGTAAAAAAAAGTTTCTAAACTTAGATATGATTGCTCTGAAACATTACTTATTTATTATAATTGGTCGTCTGCTTTATTATAAAGGTCGAAACAAATTGTAACTATGATGTCCTTCGTGGGATAATTACCGAAACCTTTAAAAAAAAAGTATATATGTAAATACACGAAACATTTTGGTCAAGGTCCTCGGGCCATCATCCTTGGTGGGCTTGGTGGATCGAATCGCACACGTAATCGTTTACACGCGTAAACTGGGCTCGGTTCTTCCCTGATGGCCACAACAAATCAATGAATCTGATGTAAATTCGCGAATTTGCACGTAATTATGGTTGCCTACTATACAAGATTTGAATTTAAATTTGCGCATTCTTCGGTGTAGTAAAATAGCAAACAATCTGCGCTTTACAGTAGTAAATCAATTAACTACTCGTTAGATCTAGATTATATCATCAAATTAGTTTCCGTTAAGTGTTTTTTTTAAATGTGTAAGCATGCATTTTATCAATGAATGTGTAAATGAATCAACATTTTCGGCAATGCGAAAGAAGTAGTGTTCATTCACGGCTCGAAGTATATTTCCAAGAAAATCCAGTCATTCCGATTTAATCTAATCGCATTGCGAATTACTAATAACACGTTATTATTCCTTTCCGAGAACAATCCGCTCGCAAAAGGAATTTCTTTTCTTTCTTTTACACATCGGTCATTATATAATCAACGGAATGTTATTACTCAATTGATATAAATTAGTTTTTTTTTTAAATTAATTGTTTGTGTTTTTTTTTCTTCTTCTCAAAGATGAGATCATTTCACGAAAGTAGGCCATTTATTTCTGTATACACATTTTTTTTTTCTCGAGAAAACTTAATATGCTATACATGTAATAAGCTACTAGTGCAGGTACTTGAAATTGACCTTTGCCAATGTAAAATTAAATTTTATTTTGGTTTAAAAAAAAGTATTTGGCACCTCAGTCTCGAGCACACTTGCATGTCTGTATCTATGAGTGAGACTTTATCGGCGTTGAGTTGTTCAAGTTGATAATGGTTCGAAAATGTGAATGAATTCTTTTACGTAAGAGGAATTAATATAATTTGGTAAATGCGACTTGCTTTATAACCTGTTTACATTCGCTTACAAGTTTCAGTAATTTATTTTTAAAACAAATTATATAAAAAAAAAAAGTAACTTATGAGATAGTTGCTGCAGCATTTATTTGTTTGACGTAAATTACGAAAGATTGCAATTGTTATCTTAAGTAAATACATGGAGTATACGATGAATATTGGATAAAATGAATCAATTTGGAACGTAAAAATTATTATTCATGATGCACTGGTTTGTGGGTATGAATATTGGACCACCCACGTGAATGGAATGCAGGACTTTATTGTCCAAAGAGAGCAAAAGATGCAATTGGATTATGCAAGTGAGTCGGTGCATTTGGGACAATGGAAATGTTACGAACATGCCGGGTGTGCGTGTAAAATCCGCTAATAAAATGCATTCACGGTAGACCACAGAAAATGGTGCAATTTTGTGGCGGATTCGTGGAAATTCCCGACCGACGATCATATCTAAAAATATCGGAAAAGCATACACAGAACTCGCTAATAAGCGAAAATGTATTTGTTGCAACAGTTAAATGCACACAATTCTTGGTACTAATCTTGTTATACACATAAAACAACTAAATCACAAGATTTTTTTTTTAATTTTGATATTTTAATAATATAGTAAAACCTCGATTAACGCTTTAAACTTGTCTATTTACTGTATGTTAATATGACTTCAATAAATGAGGTGTTACTGCAGTTGCAAATCATATGGGACTAGATATTCAAATGCTAGGTTTTTCATGGGGGTTTTCCTACTTCAGATTATAAACATGTTATTTGTTAAAACCGATGATTGGAAAAGCCTCTATTAATTAATTAAAATAACCAAACAAATGTATTACACTGATTACTAAAGCTGAACGGAATTTAAAACTATTCAAGAATATATATATAAAAAAAACATTGAATATATTTCACTTTAAAATTGCTTTTAAAAATACAGAAAAATAAACCTCGGTAACACATAATATTTGTGATTTATAAATTTGTAGATTTCAATGTTTAAGTAATTGTTGTATTATTATTATTTATGTAATAAGAAATCAAATTGTTTTATAAATATGTTGAGAATATTAATAATATTTTGAAATGTGAAATAGTTGTTTTAAAGATAGTTTTTAATAAGTAAAAATTGTCGAATTTTATGAAATGTAAATACTGTTTTTTCGGATGTGCCGCAAATTTATGAGACAATTAATATAAATCTATGAAAGACGCATTAAAGTTTGAAGTAGATTTCTTTATGGGATAAGTGTGCGTCTTATGGTCAGAAAAAATACTGTCTGTAGATCATTGTTCCAGAGGTGATAAAAACTGGAGCGTGTACGTGTATTCCCACTAGACAGAAGTGTTTAATAATAGAACGTATAAATATTAAGTAATGCAATTTCTAAATGTGTCTTTGAGGAGGAGGTGTTGGCCAGAAATCCCTGTCCCACTTTTTCGCTCCGTACGGCGCACGAAAAGAAACGCCGGTTTTCCTATTAGATTTCGGAGCCTACGTGACGTTTGCTGGGTACGTCACGGCCCTACACGTGGGCTGGCACGTAGCAGATTCGTTTGTTCAGCCTCTATATATATATTTTTTGGAGTGCAACGACTAACGAATAACAATATTTATTGTACTCGGCTACTTGGGGGAGATAATTGAAGAAAGAAAGAAACAATGCGGTTAAACGCGAATAGACCGAAATTCGTGGCCCAAATAGGCGCGCGCGCGCCTTTTCTCTACGTGCACGTCCACTTTTCCTCGGTGTTTATTTTCGTTTCACCTGAATTTGTTGTTTTTACCTTATCTGGCATGGAAATTGTAAACAGTTCGTTTCATTTCATTTCTAGCAAAAACGTTCCTTATCTGAACACAATTGCCAATTAATCGTGATGCGACGCCGAATTCGTTTTATTTTTATCTTTCCGCTAATTAGCGATCATTGCTCACTCTAATCTGCATTATCTTTGCTTCGGAATGCGCACAGCTGCTGCAATCCATCTCTTGCGTATCACGTTTCTAAAAAACACAGTATCTTTTATAGATTCGATTGTTTATGGTCAGTAGCTTTGATATTTATTTTCAAACCACTTTATTATTCGAACTTTATTATTGTAACACAACTATTGTTTGAGTGATGAAATTTAAACGAAATATTTATAAACTGCAAATTCTTTAAAATAAAAGTACACTTATTTACACTTTGGATGATGAGTTCGTTGTGGTAGTGACGTTTTCTTTACATAATAGAAGAAAAAATAACATACTTATACATACATATACACGAAATGAATGATTAGCATAGATTTTTTTTGTAAATGGGATCTTGAGAGTCCTCATTCATTCACATTGGGTATTAATTATTGTTAATTCGAAGAAGTGTTGTGTGTGTGTGTCTGTGCTCCGCGTGTGTAAATAATATGACTACATAACAACCATATAACTTACTTTGTAACCCAACTATTGTTTGATTGATGAAATTTAAATGAAATGTTTATAAACTGCAAATTCTTTAAAATAAAAGTACACTTATTCCCCGATTTACACGGTAGATAAGTACTTTTGAATGTAGAACCGTGTAAATCGCAAATTATGCAGGAATTGGTGTACTGTTGCACGAAATTATTTAAAATTACAAATGTAATGTAAATGTCTCGAGTTTAACATTGTTCTCTTTGTTTCAAGGCTATGGTTGCTTGCTATCCAGGATCAGGTTCGCATTACGTGAAACACGTGGACAATCCGAACAGGGATGGAAGATGTATTACGGCCATCTACTACTTGAATCTGCATTGGGATATTAAATGTAGCGGAGGATTGCTGCGAATTTTCCCAGAAGGCTGGACCGATAAAGTAAGTTCTCTTTACATTCTTTAAATATGTAACAAATTCAAACTGAATGTTGTAATTCAACCCGAAAGTTGTTTAGGGTCATTGCAACTGGTTTCTGTCGACTAAACATGAGTTGACAATTGCTCGACTCGCTGTACCATTTACGAAACTTTTGTCTCTATATTTTTCTCCTTTCTGATTGCAGGTTGCAGACATAGAGCCGCTATTCGATAGGTTATTATTCTTCTGGTCGGATAGGCGGAATCCGCACGAGGTGCAGCCCGCATTCCACACGAGATACGCGATAACGCTATGGTACTTTGACGCGAGAGAAAGAGAGGACGCTTGCAGGCGTTATGAAAAAGATCGTAAGTCATCTTTCAAATTGATTCACAGATAAATCATTCTATGTAATGTATTAATCCATTTATTCGTTACACATGAATCTGTTACTAACAATTAACTGCTGGTATTAGGGTGGTCGACACGGAAGTCACTATTATTGATTTTTCATAGTATTTGTACTTCAGCAACCTTGACCAAGTTTTGTCGTGTTCGGGCCAAAAGTGGAACTTGCTAGTATCGATCCCTTAAAGCATGTCTTTCTTTCATTGCTTCAACCTACTACAATTAGTGCACTAATGCTAAAGCATTACATTTTTTGTTTTGTTTTGGCTATTAAAACACTCCACAAAATTATTCTAAATAGTTTAATAAAATGTTATTTATTTAAGTAAATATTTGTAATTTTAATACTTTAACTCATAATAATAATGAGATAATTATTGAATAACAATTAATATGTTTATGTTTGCAGGTTCCTCTTTGAAGAAGAAATGAAACGAGGCTCCGACGATGAAGGGGAGTGCGATTCGTTCAGTGATGTGATATTTATTTAAAGGAAAAAGGGACTGCTGGAAGGATGATGAGTTCGTTGTGGTAGTGACGATTTCTTTACATAATAGAAGAAAAAAATAACATACTTATACATACATATACACGAAATGAATGATTAGCATAGATTTTTTTTTGTAAATGAGATCTTGAGAGTCCTCATTCATTCACATTGGGTATTAATTATTGTTAATTCGAAGAAGTGTTGTGTGTGTGTGTGTGCTCCGCGTGTGTAAATAATATGACTACATAACTATTATATTTTGTATTTAGATGTGTAAAATGTGTGATAATTTCCAATGATAACCGAACTGGACCTCTCTGTTTGGGATGATGGCTTTGTTTGTTGATTCTTTTTTTGTTCATTCTACACAAACCACACGGATTTCTGAGAATTAAGTGAGAATACTGATTGTAAAAGTAAAACAAAATAACGAGTATTAAACTAAATGCAATACGATAATATGTGCAACCCCAGAGCAGTTTCCTATAGTCTATGTATATTATTATTATTATTAATTTTGTTTCCTAGAAAACAAACAACGTCCCCCCAGTTACAGTGATTTATTTGCTTCTTAATTACTCAGCATGATTTATACATACATACGTATTTAATTATAGTTTTCTTAATGCTTATAAAAAAAAAAACATCAATCGTTTTTTTTTCTTCTTTAATTTAATACAAATGATTTGTATATAGATAGTTTACAGTGTATTATTTTATATATCTGAGAGCGTCCTCAATTTTGTTTGAATTATTATTCAGTTGTTCTTAATTCTATTTTTACTTGGAGTAATCTCGAAAGACTATGTATAATGTATAGGTAAAAAAAATAATGAAATTATATATTTTATATACAAAAAATTTGTATATAGTAGGATTGAAGTGTATACTTATCTTATATATTATATAGTGTAACATTTTTATTACTAATAATTTAATTTGAAAAAAAAACAAACTTTTTTCTTTTTATATATATATTATATAAAAAAAAACTATGAGTTTAGGCGATAAGAAATAAACGTGTTTCATAATAAAAAGAGTAAAGACAAAGATATTAACATTATTTGATCACAGAACGCAGTCATCCAATTGTTCGGTGTATGGGGTGTAGCATTTGAACTGAAAACCGCCTTCGCAAAACGAACCCTGTAAACAGTTTACAATTTAGGAATTAGTTGGTAAAACTATATAGTTTTTTTGTTTTAATTACCGGATTGACAACTTTGCATCCCTTGTATTCGCCTTGATAAGATTCCGATTTATCCCCGATTACAATCAGATTTGGTAGTGGATACAAATTGAGCGTATAGTCGAAGTCCCAGTGGACGGTCAGAGCGTTCAAAGACATCGGGCTTAAATGTCCTTGACTAATCACAGTTCTGGTTACGCAATCTGAGAGCTCATCCTTTTGCGGTTTGTGGATCGTCGCTTGCATTAGCTTCGCTAAAACGTCTGCTCGAAACAGCACGATTTCTCTGGTGCAGTATTGAATTCGACACGGATTCGTGGTGAAAATCGCATTCGGAACTACTTTCGTGAACTGCGATGAGATTATAGAAGGAAGAGATATCCTGAAAAGCAATGATTTAAAGTAAAGTTTTCGATTTAAACAAACGAACACTCACCTAGGAACTATGTGCGGGGTGCATGGATCCATCATGCCTGGCACGAAGACGAATTTACTGTTATTCAAAATGTTTGGAAACTGATTTACTAATGAAGCAAATTGTTTGAAGAGTTTCGACAGGACTTCGATGTACTCGGACCCGTGTGATTCGGACATGAAGTTACCCATAAAAATGAAGGCTGAGGGCGGATTTGCCTCCATTCCGTTAAAAAGCATTTCCAACTTTTCGAAAACCTAAATAAACACACTTGAAAATCGTTTTTAAATATTCAATTTGCTAGGAGTTTACGTTAGGGTGATCCAACCAAACATCGGAGAACAATAGGAGCATGTTCATGGGATTCCTATTCAAATAATCCTTCAAAGCTTGAGACTGTCTCAATGGAGTGGAAGAGTCGCCACCAAAATAATTTATATTACTGAAAGACAACCTGAAATTTCTTGTTAAATATATTACTTCTAACTATAATATTAAGCATACTTGGAATCATTATACTCCTCGCCTGGTGGTAAAATTATTGTCGAAACCATCAACTTTTTATCTTCGTAATACCCATTCACCAGTACAAAACAATTCTCCACGAATAATCCACCATGAAACCTTCAATTACATAATTAATCAATTGGAAACAACAAGCAAACTTTAAACTAAATTACTTAGCATGTGTTAAATCTAGATGGACAATCCCAGTGGGATCTTCCAAATAATATTTCCCCTCAGAAACTTGCAATAAGGAACCCAATATCACAGTTTTATCTAAAGTGTGCTCAGACAGAGTTAGCAAATAATCAACTGTCTGCAGCTGTATTCTATTGGCTTCAGTGGTAAGTTTATTTTTGAAATTCCTCCTTGTCCTCTGCAAAATACTCTCGTACCTCTCCAAAAACAATTGGGCCTTGCTGTTGGCATCTGATAGGAAAGTGGATTTCTTGGAACTCACCATATACCTTTTCCTTTCTGGATCATACCTGAGTCTGGGGAATTCAAAAGCACCAATCACTTTGAAGACAGTCTCATGTTTATCGTGGCCTGAGTGCAAGCACACTTCAATGGCCTGCTTGATATGCTCCAACTCAATACTTCTATCATGTATGTTCTGCCTTTCCAAGCTCTGGCATATATCCTTAATGCAGCCATCGAATATCTCTGTATCAGTTAAGTCGATGTGCTCCTCAATGCATTTCTCTATTATGAGCTCACAGAATTCTCTACAAAATAAAATGTGTTAGTTAATAGTCAAGGCAATTACAATAACTCACTTTCTAATATTAAAACCGCTCAATTTAAATCCATTGAAGAGCTTTTTCTTGATTCGTTCCAGATTCATTTTCGTTGGTTAATAAATTACTAATTTTTGGCGCTCTTTTACGTTCAAAACATTGTGATTTGTGCTTTATATTCGAACGTTAGAGAAAGTTTGGTTGCATATTGGAAGAAGATACTGCTGACAAATAGTGACAGATGATGACAGAACAGATGATATCATTGGATATGTCACACGTCAAATACACAGTCAGAGTAGGTTAGGTTTTTAAAAGTAAACTAATAACAAATTGTTTGTGATTCGGATCGCGTTGTGGCCCATAATTGAAGTCCGATCGAGCCACCTGCGATGTGGTCCTTTTTTTCGCGCGATCCTTCCAAGGATTTTAATTTCGAGATAGGTGAGCCTGTGCTTGGGCTGCAGGAGCACAGTGTTTGGACTTTACACAAAGGCAAAAAGAAGGTAATTAAGATATATGTCAATTTGCATCTTTATCCTGTTGTTAAATCAATCTGTTTTATGTTTAGGGAACCAATGAAGAAGTATCTGTATTTGTGTTTGATATTAAGAGTGGATCAGAGACTCAGCTGGATGTTGCAAAAGCAGCAGTGAAGCGATTGAAAACTCTAAGGCATCCTAGTGTCTTAACCTATTTAGATAGCTTGGAATCTGAGAAAGTACTGTATTTGGCTACAGAATATGTAGAACCACTGCCTCAACATATTGAAAAGTTAAAGTTGGATGGTCCTCAGAAGGATCTGTACATTGCATGGGGAATCTTCCAAATCACTGTAAGCTTCTTAATATTTATTATAAATTATTTATTTATTAATTTGCTTCAATTGCAGAGAGCTCTATCATTTTTAAATAACGATGGTAATTTGAGACATAATAATGTGAATATTTGGTCAGTGTTTGTAAACACTTCTGGTGAATGGAAATTAGGTGGGGTTGAGTATGTAGCTACTGCTCAAGACAATAATTCCATAGCTATTAAAATCATCCCCTCACTTGAGATCTATGACCCACCAGAGAAAAATGATCCAGGCAGGCAAAGGCAAATAACCAAATGGTAAGAGGAGAAAAAACATTAACATATTAATTAGTTATTGTTAATTTAATTTACGTTTCAGTTCAACTGACATGTGGGGTTTAGGTTGCTTGATATGGGAATCATTCAATGGGCATTTGCATCAACAATCGTATCTTAAACTTCTGGATAAAGTATTTTGTTTAATTTAAATTATTATTGCTAAATAATTATTCGGTTTAACTTTTGCACAGATACCTAAACAGTTGAGCCCGTTGTATTGCGAATTGGTGGGAGCGAATCCCACTTCGAGACCTAATCCCGCTGATATTATAACGCGCTGCCGGAAACTCGGCGGTTATTTCAAAAACGATTTGGTCGACACCCTTCTGTTTTTGGAGGAGATACAGATCAAGGATAAGAACGAGAAGAATCGTTTTTTCTCGAATCTCACGCCACACTTGGACAACTTCCCGGATAACGTTTGCAAGCACAAGATCTTGCCGCAGTTGATAACCGCGTTCGAGTACGGAGATGCTGGTTCGGCCGTTCTAGCTCCAATGTTTAAGGTAAATTATATTTAAGCATTTATCTAATTACTGATTTGGATTATATTTTGTTTTTTTAGCTTGGACGTTTATTGGACGAAGCCGAATATCAGAAGAAGATCGTACCGTGCGTCGTGAAACTGTTCAGCAGCAACGATAGGGCAACCAGATCCAGACTACTGCAGCAATTGGAGTATTTCATCGGTCATCTTCAGGCGGGAACTGTGAATGATCAGATATTTCCACAAGTTGCTCACGGATTCATGGATACGAATCCGACAATCCGCGAGCAGACTGTCAAAGTATGATTATTTCAAGAGTTTTATGCTTCTTTATCTAACTTTTTGTTTGGTTTTGCAGTCTGTGATACATTTAGCACCAAAATTAAACTACAACAATTTGAACGTGGAAGTGTTGAGGCATTTTGCTCGACTACAGGCCAAAGACGAGCAAGGCGGCATCCGTACGAACACCACCGTCTGCCTGGGCAAGATAGCTCAACATTTGCACCCACAAATTAGACAGAAAGTCCTGATATCTGCTTTCATTAGGGCGATGCGCGATCCATTCCCGCCCGCAAGAAACGCCGGGATTTTAGCACTTGCCGCCACCCAGCAATACTATTTGCTTGCAGAAGTATCCGCTCGGATATTACCAGCCTTGTGCCAGCTCACGATGGATCCGGAGAAGTCCGTTAGGGATTCGGTGTTCAGGACCATCAAAGGGTTCTTAGGAAAACTGGAGAAGGTGTCCGAGGATCCAAGTCTGAGGGAGAGTATGGGTACGCCTCTGAATGAAACGCATTAATCTGGGATAATTAATTGATTCGTATTTTCAGAAGCTGATGTGAACACGGCCACGCCCAGTCTCAGCAATGCTGCGGCAACATGGGCCGGATGGGCGGTAACCGCTGTCACTGCCAAATTCTACAGGAGCCAATCGGACACCGTGAAATCGATTAATCCCATGTCGAGTCGCATGCTCAGCAAACCAGCTTCCTTGGAGCAGCCCTCCAGCAGCAGCATTTCTACCACCACTTCCAGCGTAACATCGATGACATCACTTGAACACGAAGACGCCAGTCGCGGGAACGATTCTGTTTCTGATTACGATTACGACAATTGGGGCGAAAACGAAAATTGGGGAGATATCGAGGTAAAAAAAAATATATTTTTTTTTATTTCACCACGATTATTTTACTATATTTGGTTATAACATTCTACTTTTCGGTTACTTCTGAATACTCCAATTCTTTTTTATTCTAACAATTTCACAAAAAAATATTAATAATTAACACAAACTGGACGATTCTCATCATTAAGATACACATCATTTATTCATTCTCCTTAACTGTCTATTCATCTCTTCTGTTCATTCTCTGGATTTAACATCATTGCATTAAATTTCTTCAGACTGGTGGGCAGATGGCCAGTAGCAGCGGAAGCGGCGGCGGCGAACAAACCAGTAATCCAACATCGCCGCCCTCCGGTTCTGCCACAAATAAAGTTACAGATGGTTGGGATAATGAAGAATGGGGAAGTTTGGAAGAGGAACCCGTAAGATAAATTAAAACCATGTAACATTGACGATTACAAGAAAATGTTTTTTTTTTAATTCCATTATTAGGAAGCTGAGGCTGAAATGACTTCTCCGTCGGAACCGTGGAGCCCGAGCGATAACACTGTAGACACATCACACGCCTGGAGCTCGGATGGTGTTAGTAATAGGAATAAGGCTCAAGCGGGATGGGAGGATACCGAGTTCGAACCGTTGGACGAACCCTCGTCCACGAACTCTAAACTGGAAGAAGCGAAGAAAAAGCGTGAGGAGAGGAAGCTGATGAGACAGAAAGAGTTGGAGGCTAGAAGGGCTACCAGACAAACCGGTGGCCCGATGAAGCTGGGCTCCAAGAAGATTTAGAGAAGGGAAACGATTTGCTTTGACTACGCCACATATCTTTTCTCTATACTATAATAACAAACAAAAAAAATCGATGATAGGAATAACGGAAAGAGAACTGTGAAGCTTTCGGAATAACTTTTACTTCTGAAGCTTGTTTTTTTCTATTTAACAAAAACAAAACAAAAATTATATGAAGAAGATTGAGAATGAAATACCAAACAAAATCATTTTCTAAACGATTGATGGCTTTCACGATTTCAGATTTTCCATCGGAGGTTAAAGTTTTAATGAGATAAAACCCCAGTCCTTTTTTATATCTAATTAATTATTACTACCTGCATGACTATATATGTAAATAAATTGTATTATATTTATTAATCTTATACTTTTTTCCAACGATATTGTCGAGTCAAAGAAAGAAACATAAGATATACATATTGTCGAATCTTTACTTTCCGCCATATAAATATTACTTGTTTACATTTTAATGAACTACAAATAAACGGTTTTTTAAGTAATTTATGTTTCAATTTTATTCCAATCAAAATTTACTTTCAAATATTAATAAATGTTAAAAAATAATTAATTTTATGAAGACTTTTCAATAGGCAACCCAAATAACGTTACATGACTGAAAGTAATGACGAAAGGATACATAATTAAATTACGTTCATCTATGAAATGAAATATCCTAATTGTATTTAATTCCGTGAAACTTGCGATCGTCTATTTTATATATTTTTAAATAAAATTTTGTGATCGAGTTTGGAATGTGATGGCATTCAGATTGCAATTAAAAGAGTTGTCAAATCCAGTCAAATATGTAAGCAATATAGCATAATAGCATGAAGATGCTGAATGGCTGAGTTGTTGTTGTACATATGTAATTTTAATAACATTATATTTTTGTAAGCATTTTTTAAATGAAAATGAATGTAGTCGTTCGTCAGTGGTGTGCGTGATTGTAGTGTGCCCCAAACATGTATTTCCCAATCGGTTGGCCAAAGGTGCTCCAGATTCCTGATCTTGGAGGCACACACATTAAGCAGGTCACATCGAACAGGGACAGAATCCTGTTTGCCATCCTCACAGACGATACCCTATCCATTTGGTTCTGCAAGGTAAACATGAATCCAAAATATGCAAATAAGAAAAAAATATTAATCAACCTATCTTTTTCTTCCAGCCTTGCGTTCCAATTGTTTACCATCAAAGACCCAAACAGTCTTTGGAGAAATTTGGAACAAATGTTATTGTCGAATGGAAACCAGACTCAAGTAAATTAGTTATTGCTGTAAGTACATTTGCATAAACATGAGTTGTTTAATGAAAGATTTTAGCACTTTTGGCTAAGTTAAATATTTACATAATGATCATAATTAATTTTAGACTTCAGAAGGACACCTCCTGTTTTACACCCTGAATGTTATTGTCGATCAGAAGGGACTTTACATTCAGACTGATTCACCACATGCCAATTTAAGGAGGGACAGTGCCGAGCTGTTCATTAAGGAAATCATACCACCTCTGCATTTAACTCTGGTAAGGCATACACTCTTGACACCATTCCATCTATTAATTAGTGAGAATATTTCTCATGGAAATGAATGAAAATACTGTTATATCATCTTCCTCTTGTTTTTTTTTTTCACACTTGTTTCCTTTAATTACAATTGTGAAATTTTAGGATTTCATATTGGCTAACCTGAGTAAGCAATTAACAAAACGTTGTTTGTATTTTAATTAGCTACATGTTTATGTAATTACATTCAAAGTATTTGAATTACTTATATTATAGTGTTCATAAGTAGTTACAACAAGATAAGATATCTACAGTTATAGCGTTAATTACTATTGTATAAAATAACTAGTTTTACAGTATTTAAATATCTGTGATTTTTTTTTTGAATATATATTTATGTATTATCTTTTATACTTTTATATAATTAGCTTACATCACTAGAATATGAAGATGAAGTGAAACCATTTTCGATTTTATTTAGTGTTAATTAATATTTTCTTGCTTTGTTATAAGAGCGAAGAGGCTTTGCTATGGGACGGAGCAATAACGAGCATTGCCTGCATTACCATGACCGAGATTATGGTCGCAACAACGAAATCTCATGTCTTGAGGTACAAATGGGATGGAACCCAGAACAGAGACTACAATTTGGATTTGCGCAGAATTCCTTTCTGCATCAACCAGCAAGTATCAAAAGGTTTCTTTTAATTAAAAAGCAATAAAATTAATCAAATTTACTCAATTTTATAATAATTTTAGCCATTCCAATTGTCGAGGAAAATACTTTTATAATTGATATTGAATACTCTCCGCTTGTCGGTGGATTTGCCATTGTATTGAACGACGGACGCGCTGCCTTTTTAACAGCCTCCTCGTTGAGGTTCGATCCCAATGTAAGACTATTATTATTAAAAAAATGCAGATTTTTTATACTTTTATTTACTTGCAGCAAGTTCAAGGGATTTGGGCCCAAGGCATCGAAGACGCGACTTGCGCTAGTGTCAATCACAAATACAGATTGATAACTTTTGGTAGAGAAAAGTGCGTTTGCATCACTTAAGTTATGTATTTCTGTTGTAATTAATTTTCCTATTAATTGTTTTCAGTGCTGAGTGCATAGTGTATCACATAGATGAAAGCACGGGTGGATTGGCTGTGTCTCATGCTTGCACTTTAAGTAGTAAAGATTATCCAGGATCTCCGGGTCCGGTCCACGAGATCTGCTGGACTCCGGATGGTTGTGCCATGGCTGTATCTTGGAAGAGAGGAGGCATAGCAATGTGGTCGACGTTCGGAGCTCTGCTGATGTGCTCCTTGGCCTGGGATTACGGTTTACACGTCGATCTTCAGAAACGCAATCCACTCCATGTGATCTCAATGGAATGGGGAACGGAAGGATATCAACTGTGGATGGTCCATAAACTGTATGATAAGACGAGCAATAACGAACAGAAAGACACCAATGGCAATGACGAGGCATGCGAAATTGACAACGAAGAAGCCAATGCCACCAACATGATCCAAATGGACTTCGCCAAAAGTGCTTTGACAATAAATCCGTGCATGGTGAGATGGGAATTATTGAAATAAACTTATTTAATTTTAAACGAATTGTTGTTTTCAGAGTCACCAAAGCCATTTGTATCTGCAAGGCGAGGATAAGCTTTACATAAACTCGGCCGATACGTTGATCAAGATTTTCTCGGATCGGTCTAAGGAGGATAACGTTTTTGGAGATGCTGGTTCGCCATTATCAACAAACTCGTTGGCCGAAGGTCGTCAATGGTTGGTTCTACCCACTCCATCTACGTATTCAGCTACCAATTGGCCAATTAGAGTAAGCTAATTATTTGTCCATAAGTAAATCTATAAAAAACATTTTTTTAATGTAGTATTCAGCGATCGATCAAGATGGTCAGAGTATGGCCATTGCGGGTCGTACCGGGTTAGCACATTACTCGATGCAATCCCGCCGATGGAAACTCTTCGGCAACGAAAGCCAAGAAAAAGATTTCATTGTTTCGGGCGGTCTGCTCTGGTGGCACGACTACATGGTATTGGGATGCTACAGTATAATCGATAATGGCGACGAGATCCGATTGTACCCGAAAGAATGTAAACTCGACAACAAATTCGCCAAGATTATCCGAGTGTCCGCCCCTGTCTTGCTTATGAACAGCCTTCAAGATCAGCTGATCACTTTCGGTTCGGATGGACAAGTTACCATTTGGCATTTGAGGCAATTCGATTCAGGTAATTAACGATTATGACATTAAAGTGAATCCTATAATTATACGGTTTATGTTGCAGTTGGTTATGTGGAAGTAAACAAGATGCAGGTGATCGATATTTCAGCGCTCTGCATTCATCCAGCGTGTATTGTATCGATTACATTGACTACGCTACGTACTGAGAGCGGGCGTGGCCAAAACAACAACTCCGAGAGTATGGTTTTGAATATAAGTGGGCGTCTCCTGATGGTCCAAAGGGAAGCCAAGAACGGCGATCGGTACACTTGTTCCATGCCAACTGTATTGGCCAGTTGCGTGGAGAATGTATGGGTCCCTAGCAAGAGGAAAGCTGATAAAGTAATTTCATGTTACTTAAAAAAAGGTTTTATGTTATTAAATTGTTATATTTGTAGGCTCATTTAACCGAAGCTTTATGGTTGTTCTGTGGTTCCCATGGAATGCGAGTCTGGTTACCGTTATACCCCAGAGACGGTGACAAAAGCCACACCTTCATGTCGAAACGGATTATGTTACCCTTTCATTTGCGTATATATCCTTTAGGTAAGATTAAACACTTGGTCCGCTTCATTTGGTAACTTTTTCTGTTCCTTTCAGCAATACTATTTGAAGATGCTATTATTTTGGGGGCTGAAAATGATACAGTCTTGTATACGACTGATTCTAATTCCCCATTCTCACTGCCCTTTAACGTTCTCCAACGTACTGTAAGTTATAAAAATAAAAAAAGTATTTTGATAAAAGTATTTAATAATTCTTTTTCAGAGTCAAGTATATTTACACCAAATTCTGCGCCAACTTATAAGAAGAAATTTGGGATATCATGCGTGGGAAATTGCAAGGAGCTGTACAAGTCTACCATATTTTCCACATTCTCTCGAATTGTTATTACATGAAGTAAGTGTGATTAATTATTAAAAGAAACTTTAACTTATTTAAATTACGTAGGTTTTAGAGGAAGAAGCTACGAGTAAAGAGCCAATACCTGATGCCCAATTGCCGAGTGTGATTGAGTTTATAATGGAGTTTCCGGTTTATCTGCAAACCGTGGTCCAGTGCGCCCGAAAAACTGAAATTGCGCTCTGGCCATACCTATTCTCTGCTGCTGGTAAACCGAAGGATCTCTTCCAAGAGTGCATGGCTAATAGGCATCTAGATACAGCAGCCTCTTATTTAATTATCCTTCAAAATTTGGAAACTTCTTCAGTCAGCCGCCAGCATGCTACGCTCTTGTTGGACACCGCTTTGGATCAATCCAAATGGGAGCTGGCCAAAGATCTAGTACGATTTTTACGTGCGATCGACCCAAATGACGTGGAATCTCCTCGTAATTCGATGATTCTACCCAATAAATTGAGTTTATCGCAGACTACGCCTCCGGTGTCACCGAACGCCGAAGACATCTCGCTTATACTCGGAAACGTGCAAAGGGCGCGCAGTTTTAGCACGACTATCACGCCGAAGTTACCTGAAGCTAAAGTGAGTTTGGCCGCAAGTACAATCGCTGAATCACCTGTTGTTATGAGGAGGAAGAAAAGCGTGACAGGGGGAACAACTAAAAGCGAAAATCGTGATTCCACCAGTAGCAACACAGCTGAAGAGTTCTTCATTGATGTTATCCTGCAGAGACACGCCCGTCGGTTGTTGTCTTTGCGTCGATTATCGGATCTCGGCTATTTTGCCGCTCATCTGGATTTCCATTTAGTCGCGTGGTTGGGGAAAGAGCGTGAACGCGCTGCAAGGATCGACGATTTCGTGGCGTGTCTCAAACAGTTGCACGAGGATTTCAGTTGGCCCTATCCGGCCGAACTCAATGTTCTTCCCAATTCTGGTAACTCCTTAGATATTGAACTTTTGTTGTTAGTTAATTCGTTATTTTTTGTAGCTCAATCATTACCGGAAAGTCCGAACATCGATGATAAATTCAAAGCTCTTCATATCGATACGTCCATAAATGTGCCTTCGTCGAGGGTCGGCGACTCGGGGTACATGAGTTTTACGGGCGTGCCTTGCGTCGCCGGTCTGGTGACTCCTCAGAATACTATCGAGATGTCGTCGCAGGTGACGGAGACGAACGCCAGCGAAATCACGGAGATGGATGCATCATCTCCGAAGCCCATGTTCTATGATGATGGGTTCGAGAAGAAGATCAATCTGTTTGACGCTAACGCTAAGAGTCGGACAAGCATCGGCAACTACCGAATGATGGAGACTCAAATTCGTGCCAACGCAGCAATGGACGATATGAGTGTTATCAGCTCCGTCTGGGGCGAAGATCGCGATTTCGTCAATACCGGAGGTAGCGAAAACTGGGAAGTGCCGTCCACGCAGATCCTGGAACAACTGTCTAATGGCGGGAACAAAGGATCACAGAGATCTGAAGTTCAATTAAGGTAATTTGTTGTCAATACCTTTTTAAATGTAATAGGTTTTTTTTTATAAATTGAAGTTTTGTTTCAGGTATTTATTGCAATTATTTATGGAAGCGAGTTGCCTGGAGTGGTCTTTGCTAATTTCCGTGTTATTGCGCGATGCATTGGCTGTTTTGAGGACCGTGAATGCTGCGAAGTCACCTGATCAGTCCATAGAGTCTGTGAAACGTCTTAAACAGGGACTGCAAATCCTCCATTACTGGACTCATTCTCAATGGTAAATCTCTTTAAAATTAAATTAGAAAAAAATGAAATTGTTTATATTCGTTGTTTTCAGTCTTGGTTACAAACCGTTTATGCTGGCAATCCAAAATCAAATATCCGTCCTGTCAACGATTCTGGCGACTAAAATCCAACATCAACAGATTTTGGACCACCAGCGAGTCGTGTCCGCGACTCTGAGCAAAGTGTCCTCCCCGATTCCAGTCCAAAGGACACGCAAGGCCAGTTCTAATAACGAATCCGTGGGAAGCCACACTGCAAAGAGCAGCGTGTCCAGTAACATTGCGACAAAGGAACGCCTCAGTGAAGTGAGCACCAATCATCATCCGCCTGACGTTCCGAACAATTTGCCGGAAACGTACGAGGCGTCAATCATTCCAGAGAGCACAACCTGCATCCTCTCTTAAACACACACGCCCCGCCCATTAGTGAGTAAAAATTATGTACAAATTTACGTATTTTCTTTACAGTTGGTGGTGTTTGAATTATAATTATTATTTCTGTTAATTTACATCTGTTACGTGTTGCACTAATTTATTAACTTTTATATGTGTGTTTGTGTGATTGAATTCATCCAGGTCAAGTCAATTAGTGTAAAGAAGAAAATTATTTCCCAAAATTAATAGTGAATCATATCATCAGAAACGTATTTTATATATAGACTTGGGAGATAAACAATAATATTTTATATTATTTTTAATTTAGTATTTATAGGCGTAATCAATTTAGGAAATAAAAAGTCTAGTGAATGTATTGTTTAAAAAATTGCGTAAAGCATTAGTAAATTATAAAAATCAATACAGACAGGTTCGACTATAGTTCTCGTTCGTAATAGTCGATGAACTTAGTGGTCCTTACTTCTTTTGTAGATGAAAAATAAAGTTATATACCAGATTTTTTTTTGCGATGAGTGGGCTAGATAGAGCAAGCAAAGAAAAGCATACTACAGTTGTCAATTTTTTTGATATGGATTCCTTTTTTTAAACGGAATGGTTATGTGTTACGTTTATATGTGTATATAAGTATTTTTAAGAGAGGAACACGAGAATGATATTCTCAGAATGTAAGAGTTGAAGAAGAAATAACTGGGAGAGGGGTCTTAAAATGTCACGCCGCTTGGTCAAAGTGAAAAATAGAACGGTCGTGGCTGGTATAATATTGATATTTGTAAATTGTAATACTCTTGATGTTTTTGTTAATAATTACCTACGATAATATATTTTGTATTTGTTAATAACGTTTTTTTGACTACAATTTACATAAATAAACGATAGGAATATTAATTATAAAAATTATTTTATTTTATTTGAAATGTGCCTAAATTAGACATTTCTTCATTATTATTTTTCCGTAATAATAACTTAAATTGCTTTTATCCAATTACAATGGATAAGATAACAAAACATTAATTAGCTTGTGGTTGGTCCTTATTTTCAACATTTTCTTCAGTTTTAGTTTCAACTTCATCACTCGCCTTTTCCTCTTCACCAGTTTCTGCTTCGTCACTTGCCTTCTCTTCTTCCGCAAGTTTCTTAGCAACTTCGTCCTTTGCTTTCTGGAATTTATTGATATCGAATTTGGAAACATCTCCGCCTAATAACCTCAGCAAATGCACGGAATTGCAATGAGCCATGTATACTCTGAGTGTTGTCGTTCCTCTCCATCCGCTCAAATGCAATACCAAACCATCTTCACCCTCCTCCTTGTAAATTAGAACGCAACTTCCTGCGGCCAAATCTTTCAATTGTGCCTGCACCACCTCCGAAAGAGATTCAATGAGTGGTGCTTGATCTGGAGTATCGTTCATCAATAAGGTGATCAAATCGTCCTTAGGAATTGTCACCCTGCGACCAGGTCCTATGCTATTAAATATACTTTCAAGACCATCATTCGCTATTCTGAACGGACACTTCTTCATGTTGCGGTTATCTGATCTGACGAACAGTTTGACACCGGTATTGATGAATTTGATCGTGCCCTGATTTTGGATGACCAAATCGCGCATCGCCGAAGATGTCAAATAAATATTCTTTTTCTTACCGACAGTGCAACGCACCAACAGATTCTTGCAATCGAAGTCATCGGACAGTTCATAGAAACTCTTGATGTCTGGCCAAACGTCCTCGTCTTCTTTGAAGAACACGAAAGGATCTTCCCTGTATCCGTCCCTCCTCCTCCTCTTCCTCTGATTCTCCGGCAACCTGTCTTCCTTTTCCTTCTTCAGCCTCTCCTCTTCCGCATTCATGATCTTGAAAGACTTCTCCTTCGGACTGATCGGCTTCAGCTTCTCTAAAACCGCTACGAAGAAGGCGCCAGTGTTCTGCTGGTGCGGCAAAATACGAATGCACTTATTCAGCTCGTATTTGGCTCTGTCCTCCGGCTTCGGTGGGAACATCTGCGGCCGAATCGTCGTTCTCCAATTTTCGTCAACCTCTTCCCATGTCTTGTAAAACTCTAAATTCCTCGACCCGACTACCCAACTTTCCATGCCCGGAGAATAATTCAGGCCTGGAAGAGTGGAGGTGACGTCCACCAACCTCATTGCACCGTCAGTCTCGGACAACAATCTGTGGATTACAGCTTCGTTCTCTAGTGGATTCAGAGAGCACGTTGAATAGACCAAGCGACCACCGACTTTCAACAGTTCGCAGCCCCTCCTGAAAATCCTCGATTGAACTCCGTGCAGATTAATTGCATTGGCCTGAGTCCATTTCATCCAGATGTCGGGATTCTTACGTAAAGTACCATCGCCAGAGCACGGCACATCGCAAAGAATCCTATCGAACTGCACTTGCTCCATTGAACCGTTTGGCATTGAACACGTCAAATTCGGAAGAATAGCACTGTCGTGGTTGATGACAGCCAAGCACGGTGAATTCAGACGCTTCGCTTGATGAACCAACATATAACATCTTTTGTTATCAACATCATTGGCAATTACGTATCCAGATGGGATGGCGTCGTCTTCGCCGTGCAACATCTCCAATAATTGCGCGGTTTTCGATCCCGGAGCGGCGCACATATCTAAAACCTTTTCCACAATTATAAGTATTTATATAAAAAATATTATTTCCAAAAAACTTACTGTGTGATGTGGCTTAACATCGAGTACGAGCGGCGGCAACATGCTAACAGTTTCTTGCCGCGAAATTGTACCATTCTCCGTCTCCATAATTAAAAAGTTGTGCAACTTGTAAAAAGCCTCTTCACGTCTGATTTCTTTTTTCGTTAAGTTCATCTGCCAAGCCAGATTATCAGGATACCTACAAACAAATGCACTTAGTAAAAGAGCAACAATAAAAATCATTGTATCTCACCATGGCAACGGATAAATTGTTGTGTCAAATTCATTTGTGTGGCCATTGTTTAAGCAATCTTTCAGGAATTGCCCTTTAACAACTTCAACCATTTTTTTTGCCACACTCTTGGATCCAGTTATTCTGAATGTCGTTGGCAAATCTGATTTAATGGATTGCATGAATTCATCCCATTCACTTTCCTTGCAAATACCCACAGTCTGCAATTATCTCCGTATTAATTCACTTAACCCAAAAATTATAAATTAATTTACCTTGTAGTACTGTTCAAATTTCTCGTTCCCCTTGACAATATCCTGGTAAGGTATTCTGTTGTCTTCACCTGGTTGTGCCTAAATACAAAGTTTGAGATTATTGTTTTAAGGTCTTCTAGATGTTTGATAGCTTACTTCTTCCACTTTGCTTACTTTTGCGCGCGAGGCTCTGCCCTTCCGAAAACCTGCCTTCCTCTTACCCATTTCGTCAATAGAAACACTAACAAGGAACGAAAATAATTATTTATGTTATAAAACACGTGTGTTGTTACAGTCTTCGACCTGCAAACACTGCAAATGAACAACATAACCTTAAACCCTACAAACGTAACCTATAGTTGAGTGTTAGTAGTGTTGCATAAACGGTCACAATATAAAATTCTAAATGTTGATTATTTTGAATGCAATTATTGCAATACATTTTTGTTTTAATATCGTTAAAATATTATAAATAGTTGGAGTACAAAAAGAAATGCTAAAATGTTAGAGATTGTTTGTATCATAATTTGCATACTTTTGTTTGGGTAAGGATTGATAAGTATACTCAAGAACCAAAGAGCACATGTACCAACATCCATCTCATAACAAAGAACGGAAGGAATTGTTTTCGTTTGGTTTGAAGTTTGAATCAGTTTGAATTGGTTTGAATCACTAACCTAAAGACAACAACAAAGTAGAAATATTTTTTAAGTGTAAAAATTCATAAAAGTTACCATGGTGAGAAAGCATACTGAAATATCTCTAGTAGATAAAATGAACATAATAAATCAAGTAGCTAACGGTGAGGATAAATTGCATTTAGCAAAAGAACATAACACAAATGCATCAACAATTACCCTCATATACAAGAACAGACATTTAATTTTGAATAGCATAACGAATTGGCATTTGAAGAGATTGAGAAGGTCCAAATATTATAGATTGAATAAAGCTATCATAATTTATTTTAGACAGGCTGTAGCTTACAATAAGATATTAAATAGTCGCATTATCAAAGAAAAAGCTACTTTTCTAGCAGAGAAATTGTCCATAAAAGATTTTACTGCATCTGGAAGCTGGATGCAAAAATTTAATAAGAAGTACTGCATAAACATGCAAACATTGTGGTGTTTCAAAAACAATCTACCTGCTTCAGTTAAAGGAGAGTTTCTTTCAGACAATGAAATAGTTGAAAGAGTAATGAGTGAAGAAAGATCAGAAAGTTCTAAAAATGGTTCAATGAACAGTGCTGAAGATGATAAATCAGAGGAGAATGAAGAGCAGGATGAAGCTGACAATAATTCATTAGAAGAGAAAGAAAAGGATGAACATGATCAGACCTGTGATTCATTAAATGAATATAACGAGTGGAAACAGGACATCAAACCTATAGTGAATGATAGCACTGGTGAAAATGAAAATGGGAGAACAGTGTATGCTTTGAAAACTATTAGTAATACCCTGGACAGGTTAGACATTGTACCCAATGATGTTTTAAAAGCGTTCACTTTAGTTGAAGTCTTTATAAAGAAAGAAATATCAGGTGATAATGTTTAACCATGCTTAAATTTAATGTTATTTTGACAATAATTATTTAGGTTTGACTGTTTTTTTTTTCTCATTATAGTTTATAAGTATTATTAATATATACAGTGTATATTTACAGAACAAACTAAATTACAAAATAAAGCATAAATATATATTTTTTTAAATTTATTTAATATAATTTTATTTATTATATATAAATGTAATTTTATATAAGTTACACCTGTTTTATACAAAGAAACAAAAACTTTACATTGCTTACGTTTATTCAATTTTTTTTTAAATATATTTTATATATGCAACCCATTATACTTTCACGATATGCAACCAAATACATAGCCCATCACAAACTTCAGTTCTTCATTTACATTGATACCAACCATACATGCATGTTGGCAATGTTGCTCGGTAGTGCTAAATGGTGCTAAACATATAAAACCTATCCTTGCCCTTAGCAGCCCTCAGTCAGTGCCTCAGTGCCCTTTGTGACTTCAGTTGTGTATATTAGTGTCAGAGTATTCCTAGTGCTTTTGAATGAAAACAATCATACGAAAATCAGCAGCTGAATTGAACAGGCAATAACATAACAAATATTTGTGTGTTTATGTGCATTTATATATACAGTTTATATATTTATTGTAAAAATGACTTCAATTATCAAATTACAAGCTCTTTCGGGAGCAATGGATGAGTCTCCACCATGCTACCTATTGCAGGTAGATGATGTTCGTATACTTTTGGACTGTGGTTGGAATGAACACTTTGATCCAGAATTTATGAAAGAATTAAAAAGGTAAATAATATACAACAATTTCAACATTATTATTATTATCTAAATGTTATTTCCACAGACATGCCAATACAATAGATGCTGTACTGCTCTCATACCCAGATGCCTCACATTTAGGTGCATTGCCCTACATGGTTGGAAAATTAGGACTCAATTGCCCAATATATGCCACAATACCTGTATATAAGATGGGACAAATGTTTATGTATGATCTGTACCAATCTCACACAAATGTCGAAGACTTTAACTTATTTACTTTGGATGATGTAGATTTAGCTTTTGAGAAAATTACACAATTGAAATATAATCAGAGTGTATCCATGAAAGGTAAATATTGTGTTAAAAATATAACTTAAATTTTATAGAACTTCTTTCGTAGGCAAAGGATATGGATTAACAATAACTCCACTGCCAGCTGGACACATGATTGGTGGAACAATTTGGAAGATTATGAAAGTTGGTGAAGAGGATATCATTTATGCTAATGATTTTAATCACAAGAAAGAGAGACATTTGAATGGCTGCGAATTGGAAAAGTTGCAGCGACCCTCATTGTTTATAACAGATGCATTCAATGCAACCTACCAACAAGCAAGGCGCAGAACTAGGGATGAAAAATTAATGAGTAATTGATTTAAAAAAAAAGTTGAATTTATCATATTAACGTTTGCTTTTTTTAGCTAATATCCTTCAGACATTAAGGAATAATGGGAACGTGCTAATATCAGTTGACACGGCCGGACGAGTTTTGGAATTAGCACACATGTTAGATCAATTGTGGAGGAACAAAGAATCAGGACTATTCGCATATTCCCTGGCATTATTAAATAACGTCAGCTACAACGTTGTCGAATTTGCCAAATCACAAATAGAATGGATGAGCGATAAACTCATGAAAAGTTTCGAAGGAGCGAGAAATAATCCATTTCAATTCAAACATTTGCAATTGTGTCATTCCCTGCACGAACTATCGAAAGTCCCCAGTCCGAAAGTCGTTTTAGCCAGTTGCGCAGATATGGAAAGCGGATTTTCCAGAGAATTATTCCTGCAGTGGTGCTCCAATCCTAATAACAGTATAATTATCACTACTAGGTAAAGATTCATAAATTTATTTTGATGAATGTACTAATCAATTTTATTTTATAGGACTTCTCCTGGCACTTTGGCTAGAGATTTGGTTGACAATGGTGGAAACCGAACAATTGATTTGGAAGTGAAGAAGCGTGTGAAACTTGAGGGACCTGAACTAGAAGAATACGAACGTCAGAAGAAGGAAAAAGCTGAGGAAGAAGATCGTAACAAGTAATATTTTTTTATAATAATATTGTGCATGTTTTTATAGGAAAATTTTTAAATTTTAGGTTAGACGAAGATTCTGACTCTGATGACGACATTGAAATGAGTGTAATATCCAAAGGAAAGCATGACATTGTGATTAAACAGGAAGGTAAAATCCATGGTGGTTTCTTTAAAGCTACAAAGAAGCAGCATCCCATGTTTCCATTCCACGAAGATAAAATAAAATCTGATGATTATGGTGAAATTATCAAGACTGAGGATTACAAATTGGCCGATGCTGTTGCAGAGCCGGACGATAATAAAGAGAATATTGTTATAAAGAAGGAGCAAACTGAGTTCATAGGTACTTGATCATTTAAATTAATAATTAATTAGAATATAATTATGATCCTGTTTTGTAGCCGAGGTGCCGGAAATTCCAACCAAATGTATTGTACTTAATCGTACCGTTCAAGTAAACGCACAAGTGCAATATATCGATTTCGAAGGACGATCCGACGGTGAATCTTTGCTGAAAATTCTGTCGCAACTGAAGCCTAGAAGAATAGCTGTGGTGCGAGGAAACGAAGAAAGCACGTTTGCTATACAGAATTACTGCAAGGAGCATATAGATGCCAGAATTTTCGCACCTGCAAGAGGCGAAATCATCGACGCCACCAGCGAAACTCACATTTACCAGGTTCGACTGACGGACGCTCTGGTGTCTCAGTTGAAATTCCAAAAAGCCAAAGAAGCTGAGCTTGCTTGGATCAACGCTCAAATTGTACTTAGAGAAAGCCAACTAGACGCAAAACCGATGACCATTGATAACGAACTAATGGAAGGTAAATATTCCACCCCAATTTATAAATATGAGTTGAACTTAACTTACATTTTATTTCAGTCGATGAAGAAGATTTGAAGACATACGCGCTTGAACCCATGTCATGCTTGAATCAAATACCACACGACACAGTGTACATTAACGAATTGAAACTGTCAGAGTTTAAGCAGATTCTGTCGAAATCAAATATAAGTTCAGAATTTTCAGGAGGTGTGCTTTGGTGCTGCAATGGAACAATTGCTATTCGAAGGGTAAGTTGTGACTCTACATCAACGAATAATTTGTAATATATAATTTGTGGTTTTTTTTTTGTCCTTCAATTTCAGATTGAGACTGGTAAAGTTATTGTGGAGGGATGCATATCTGAGGAATATTACAAAGTTCGGGAATTGCTCTACGATCAGTACGCAATTTTGTGAGCAGTGAAAGTTTAGTTTTTCAGTTTTATAGAAAATGAAACTATATTTTTTTATAAAGTTATATGAATTCAATGCTTTAAGATGAAATATACGATATTAATTTATATATATAATAAAAAGAAAAATATGTTTTTGTGTGTTTCCTTTTTAAATTTCTTAATTATCATTTAAGAAAGTTAGATCATTTATTAGAACAGGACAATTTCAAAAATATAATCAACTTGGTGCAACAATTAAGTGGAATACGATAGTTTTCCAATAAAGGTTGTGTTTAGACATTTGTGCACTTACCTATTATACTGTACTTGTTATACATTGTTTTTCTTTTATAATTATTATTGTATATAATAAACAAAGTTTTATATTTTTTAATATGTTACTTAATAAATATATTTATCATTAATATCTTAATGACTATAATAAGAGAGGCTTTGGTAGCATTCATTTATTTAATCTTATTGACGGATGTTATATAACAATTGATACATTTAGTTTAAACAAAGTGACATTTATGAAGAAGAACAAAATTAAATATTTGTATCATTGCTGATTTTGCCATGAATATATTAAGGTGTTTCGACTATAGTTAATCACGAATGATGCTTCGAACTTCAACAAACGGTAAGATAACGTTTTATATCCTTTAATTACGTAAGATTTTGAAGAAGTTGTAATGATTTTTTTTTATCAATACAAGTTTTCGAACATAATTTTGTTTTGAATCATTTAAAAAATGGGCGTAAAGACTGCAGTCATTGGCCCAGAGTTGAGCCAATACAAATTACTAAATAAATAATATAAAATGCGATAGGTAAAATGGACATTTTTGAATGATGCAGATTTAAAATAAATAAAGAACGACATCTCTTATATAATTTGTGTAATTAAACAAAAATCGCAGTCGTATTAATGACAATCTAAATGTTAACTGCCTTCAATTATTTTATACATTTTTCATTATAACTTGTTGCCTATATATCCAATTATGATAATATTTAAATATGACGTGTGTTTAGTTCTTTTATTAATGTAAATTTAAACGAAATCTTCAAATAGAAAGATACAATTGTGTTTCGTTTCATAAAATATATAATTTCATAATAATTAATTTGAGTATTTAAATACTTTTATAAACTATTTAGAAATAATTAATTAATTAATTAAATATATAGAAATACTTAATTAAGACCTATTAATATTTAAATTAGAATCTTCAAATTATTAAAATAAAATTTAATATGTATTTTTTTATAAGTCTATAAATTTTGAACAAATTGCAATTAATTTAAAAATATGAACTTCAATTATTTCAATGAAATTTTTAGAAAGAAAAACAGAAAGAAAATTTGGTTTAGATTCAGACACATTTATTTACTTTCAATAAAAAAGTTCATAGAGAAATAATTATTAAACAAAAAATATGTACTAAATTGATTTTAGAAATTATTTAATATAATAATTTATGAATATTACAAAAATGTTATAACATTTTATAGTTTGTAACTAATAATTATCAATACCAATCATTAAAAATGAATTGCGATTCAATAAAATATAATTGCAAAATTTCTAGAAATAAATATAATTTATTGCAAAAAAAATATGATTGTGCTGTATTTAAATAAGTATCAATTTTGAGTTTATTTCTTTAAATATACATTTTACTGCATATTTTTTTTCTACGTTTGTAATTAATTTAATGTTACAAAAAAACAAACTTTTGCGTAATTATATGAATGAAACTGGTTGGTTCAGCAAAACACACACATAATATATTTTATTTATTTATATTGAAAAAAAACTAATACATTAAGAAGAAATGAGTCATTTTTACAATGTTTTCATGCGTAATTCGCTCCAGTAATAAGGAAACGATTTCATCAGTTAAATAAATATTTGAAAGTCAAACAATATTTTTTTTAAGAAAAATGACGGACTGAAAGTTTAAAAATGTATGATAATTATTGAAAAATATTTATCTGTTAGTTACAAATCATTATTTATTATTATTTTGAAACTAATTTTGTCCATTTTATTTACAGTATTTATTTGAATGTTTTTGTATTTTCAACTATTAATATCGCTTCCATTTAAGTATTTCTTAGTAATAAAATACAAAGAAATAATAAAATAACTATTAATATTTGTTTGTATTGAAAGCAATAATAATTTAAGAATGATATATTTAAACAAATTGCAACAGTTTCAATATTTATACGCACAGCAAGTGAAGAGTAATTACAGTTAATTGTATTGTTTATAATTATAAATAATGTATGGGTTTTAATTGAGGAGAGAGCGTCAAGTACATGAATTATTTACTTGCGCAGTATACAGTTTGGACTATGAAAATGATCGAATTACTGCCCGATCATCAGAAGTATAATTTACAAGCGAAGCTAAGCGAAAAAGAAAAAAGAAGAAAGAATCGGACAACAAAAATATTCTTTTACATGTGTCGTTGACAAATTCAATCTGTCTGAACGGACGACTTAAAAACTGAAAAAAAGCCACCAATATGAGAGCGTCCTGCCCCACCACAGCGCTTTTCATTCATACTGACTTATCTTGCAGCATCAATCTCGCCCTCTCTCTCTTTATTTGTGTACAGTTTATGCAGTGCATGAGTCGTGTCGGTGTGTGGTGCGTGTGTTTATGTCCAAATCCTATCCAATTTTCGTGTTGTTCAGTGTAACCCTGCATCGTATCTATTGGAAATTAAGGACGAACAAATTGCTGACCAGAATCCTGTTCACTTCGACGTAAGTTTTAACCTAAAACGGTTATAAATAACTCCGTTCCAAAGCTGAAACACCATTCTGACTTAAGCTCTGTTTACATGTTGGGGTTATGTTTTCGTTTGAACCGTACGCGTATTTGCATCGGACTGCAAGTTTTCACTAATGGGGAAAAGTTGTTTATATGTGCAAATGAAAAGTGTCCCTTTTTGAATCGTATTCGTTTGTTTGTTGTTGTTTCAAAAAAATTCTTATTTTGTCAGATGCGCGTCTGCATCTGGTCTGGATTTCTCGTGAATTATTTATAAATGGAAGTAAATTTTAATTGATTGCAGATAGACGAACAATTTTGCGTTCGTGATCTTTCGACGAGGCAATATTATATTGAAATAGATAAGTGTTATCATTTCACTTATGTATTGTTGCTCGTATTATTACTTTGTATGTCTTTCTGTATTGTTGTTTACGAACATTCATTTTCAAACTCAATTAACAAAACTTTAAAGTATATAAATCGTATTGTCAACGAAATCCTATTGTATTTGCCATATAAAGTTACTTGTTAGACAAGTTCAATAAACCTCTTCATGTTGTAGAAGTATACAGCAATGATTAACTATATGCATATTTGTGTTTAATTCCAATTAAGTTAAGTTTAAGTTTTATAAGAAATTTTCCATATAAAGTTACCTGTAACACCAGTTCAATAAACCTATTCATTATGTACTTACGTATTATGTGCATATAGCAATGATTAACAAAATACATTTTTGAGAATAATTCCAATTAAATTAGCTTTGATTTTTATAAGACATATTCCCATATAAAGTTACTTGTTAGATCAGTTCAATAAACCTATCCATGCTGCAAAAGATATAGCAACTATTAACAATATTGCATAAATCCAATCAAGTTAGCTTTGATTTTTCTATTCATTATGTGCAAGCATATATCAAAGATTAACAAAATACATTTTTGAGAATAATTCCAATTAAATTAGCTTTGATTTTTATAAGAGATATTCCCATATAAAGTATAGCAACTATTAACAATATTGCATAAATCCAATCAAGTTAGCTTTGATTTTTCTAAGACATTTTCCAAATAGAATATATCAATGAATAACAAAATACATTTTTTAAAATGATTCCAATTAAGTTGATTCCATTATATCAACAAAATGCATCTTTTTATTAATAATTTCAGTTAAATAAACTTTGATTTTTCTGAGAGATTTTCCATATATACATTACTTTTTAGAACAGTTCAATAAACCTATCCATGCTGCAAAAGATATAGCAACTATTAACAATATTGCATAAATGCAATCACGTTAGCTTTGATTTTTCTATTCATTATGTGCAAACATATAGCAAAGATTAACAAAATACATTTTTTCAAAGTGATTCCAATTAAGTTGATTCCATTATATCAACAAAATGCATCTTTTTATTAATAATTTCAGTTAAATAAACTTTGATTTTTCTGAGAGATTTTCCATATATACATTACTTTTTAGATCAGTTTAATAAGCCTATCCATGCTGCAAAAGATATATCAACTATTAACAATATTGCATAAATCCAATCAAGTTAGCTTTGATTTTTCTAAGACATTTTCCAAATAGAATATATCAATGATTAATAAAATACATTTTTAAAAATGATTCCAATTAATTTGATTCCATTATATTAACAAAATGCATCTTTTTATTAATAATTTCAGTTAAATAAACTTTGATTTTTTCTGAGAGATAAACCTATCCATGCTGCAAAAGATATAGCAACTATTAACAATATTGCATAAATTCAATCAAGTTAGCTTTGATTTTTCTATTCATTATGTGCAAGCAAATATCAAAGATTAACAAAATACATTTTTTCAGAATGATTCCAATTAAGTTGATTCCATTATATCAACAAAATGCATATTTTTATTAATAATTTCAGTTAAATAAACTTTGATTTTTCTGAGAGATTTTCCGTATATACATTACTTTTTAGATCAGTTCAATAAACCTATCCATACTGCAAAAGATATAGCAACTATTAACAATATTGCATAAATTCAATCAAGTTAGCTTTGATTTTTCTATCCATTATGTGCAAGAATATAGCAAAGATTAACAAAATACATTTTTTCAAAATGATTCCAATCAAGTTGATTCAATTATATCAACAAAATGCATCTTTTTATTAATAATTTCAGCTAAATAAACTTTGATTTTTCTGAGAGATTTTCTATATATACATTACTTTTTAGATCAGTTTAATAAACCTATCCATGCTGAAAAAGATATAGCAACTATTAACAATATTGCATAAATTCAATCAAGTTAGCTTTGATTTTTCTAAGACATTTTCCAAATAGAATATATCAATGATTAATAAAATACATTTTTCAAAATGATTCCAATTAATTTGATTCCATTATATTAACAAAATGCATCTTTTTATTAATAATTTCAGTTAAATAAACTTTGATTTTTTCTGGGATTTTCCATATATACATTACTTGTTAGATCAGTTCAATAAACCTATCCATTCTGCAAAAGATATAGCAACTATTAACTTCAATCAAGTTAGCTTTGATTTTTCTATTAATTATTTGCAAGCATATAACAAAGATTAACAAAATACATTTTTTGAAAATGATTCCAATTAAGTTGATTCCATTATATCAACAAAATGCATTTTTTTCAGTTAAATTAACTTTGATTTTTCTAAGAAATTTTTAGATCAGTTTCATGATTTAAGAGTTTATAGCTTATATTACATATTATAGTACATGGTTTTTTTAGAAATAATTCCAATTAAGTTAACTTTAATTTTTCTGAGAGATTTTTTTTTTAATCAGTTGATTCTTAGATAAGTTCAATAAACCTGCATATAGTTATATGATTAACAACGATTTACACACAGAATACTTGTGTTTATGCATAATTCCGATTAAATTTAAAAATAAAACGAAAATCTCGAAAGCGTTTTGTGGGAGCAACACTTGTTTCCTGAATGTGTCGTTGCATTTGGTATAGGAAATGTGTGCTTACATCCTTTTACGTGATCCGTGTGTTAAGGCGCCCCTTCTTTTGTATTTAAAATACTATACTTAGCTTGAATGTATAAACTCCACCGAGATGACATTTCCCTTTTTCGGCATTGGTAACGCGAGTGCAGCAGCAGCAGCAGAAGAACCCTCAATCTTGCAATCAACCATTTAACGAAAACCGATACTATAATTGAAAGCTGCGTATTTTCTCTATCAGATATTCTTCAATGTGGAGCCCTACTTAACACCTGCAAAAAAAAATATATGTATAATAATGTGGGCAGGTTACTGTTAGCTCATCGGTCAGGTCTTGTTGGGGTGGCAACCGAGGGTCGTCTGCATCGGTGTAGTCTTACATACAAAAATTCAGATCAAAGCATCTTCTGCCCGTATCTCTCACGGTTCTGCCGCCACATTTTGTGGTTTATAATTTCACACACACAGAATATTTTATATAAATATAAGATTTATGGACAAGATTTTAGTTGGTTTTCTTTGCCTTCAAAATCTATCGTAATATGTGAAATTTGTTAATGTGGTCAAACTGGGAATCACATCTGGCTTTGCCTTCAACACATGTTTTGTTTCTTTCCTGAAACCTCGCACAGCAATTTACGATCTCCTCTTTTTCCCGATAACTTACAAACTTGATTATTATCTGTCTCGTGTTTTGGTTATTTCATAATTTGTATCCATCCGTTTCTTGTAAATGAAATGAAAGTAGCAAAAAAAAAACGTTTACATGAAAATAAACATTAGTTTTTTTTTCTTGTATAATAATCTGAAAATATGGTCTAATGACGAAAATATGCATGGAATTGAATAGATTGCAATTGTTAATGTTGATTATTTGAATATTCAATGTTTTTCATTTATGAAAATGTTAATATTAATTTTTTGTTCGTTAATTTTAACGAATTAATTGTTGAATTCATGTCTATAAATATATATGAGAATATACAATGTTTACATTAAAACTATATATAATTATTTCTTTGTTAATTTTGATTATTTGTTGAAATCTTTAAAAAAAATAATTATTTGTTCGTTAATTTTGATTAATTATTGAATTCAAGTTTTCATATTTAAAAATATCCAATATTTGCACAGAAGAAAAATCTTTGTTAGTTTTGATTAATTGTTGTGTATATAAATTTGTAAATATTTAAAATGATGAAACAATTTCTAGATAATTAAATACTTAGTGTTGTTAGTTATTACTATAAGTAATGTATTTTAAAGAAAGTGAGTTATGGTATGAGTTTTGAAAGATATGCAAAATAAAAATCGTCAGAGGGAAAGATTCGAGTCTGTGTGTGCGTTTAGTGTGCAGCAGCTGTTGTTGGCAAATCAAACAGAGTAAAGAAACCCCCCACACACTTGGGTTAGGTTAGTAGAACTTAAAAACTGCATAACCACGCACATACTGTTTTATTTATGAACGTCATGAGCATAACATTAAGTAAATACAATTGTACATGTAAGAATTCAAACATCGATAATTGCTTAAATTTTTTTGTAACGAATTAAGAAACGATGCTTTCGTATAAAAATAATCGTGGATGATTCTTATTTTATTATGATTATAATGCGGGTCCAATTTAATATGTATTATGCCTGCCCAGAAAGATAAAGCATCGTAATTCTAATTAGACGTATTAAACCTGTCCGGATAGTGTAAACAATTTTATTTTCAGTCGACCGAGGGGAAAATCTGAATTGCAAAGTGCAAAGTGTCGCCAGTCTCGACGGCGCTTTTATCTCTGTCCATCGGTCTGCATATCTGATGTTTCATCCTTCGAGCCCTGGACATAGTTATGCGGTGCACACACATGCACACCCCGACAATGTTCAGAGACATTTTATTGTAGTTTATGATGGTGGTTCCTCTCCTCTCCGTCATCCCTATTCTATTGAAACAGACGTGCACACTTTAAATACAGAAGATGAACGAAAAGGAAACGAAGACGACGCCTGTTTCTGATTCTTTGATTCCTTGGAACTAAAGATATAAATATCATTTGCAGAATATTCAAATATTCGATTTATTTTAATGTCTTCAAACGCTATTTACTAAATAGATAAGATTATTGAATGTAACAATAATAAGTTTATTCTGTATTCGGTATACGAATTTTTCAATTTCTTGGAACTAAAAGCTATTTACTAATTAAGTATTTTATAAGATTGTGAAATGTAACAAAAACTAAGTTTATTCGGTTTACGAATTTTTGTTTATTGTCCGTTTCTAAATCTTCTTTGTAACTAAATGTGATTTGCTGTATATTCAATATAATTACTATCTTTTAAAAGCTGTTTACTAAATACGCATTGAATAAGATTGTTGAATGTAACAAAAGTAAACTTATCTGTATTCAGTATACGAATTTTTTTGATGCCCGATTCTTCAAAAGCTTGAAACTAAATGTAACAAAAATATGTTTATTATGTATTCGGTATACGAACTTTTGTTTATTACTCGTTTATTAGTCTTCGATTCATTTACTAAATAAGTATTTAATAAGATTGTGGAATGTAACAAGTTTATTCGGTATACGAATTTTTGTTTATTGTCCGTTTCTAAATCTTCTTTGTAACTAAATGTGATTTGCGATATATTCAATATAATTACTATCTTTTAAAAGCTACTTACTAAATACGCATTGAATAAGATTGTTGAATGTAACAAAAGTAATTTATCTGTATTCAGTTACGATTTTTTTTGATGCCCGATTCTTCAAAAGCTTGAAACTAAATGTAACAAAAATATGTTTATTATGTATTCGGTATACGAACTTTTGTTTATTACTGGTTTATTAGTCTTCGATTCATTGGAACTAAATTTATTTTGCGGAATATTCAATATATTTCATATCATCAAAAGCTATTTACTAAATAAGTATTTAATAAGATTGTGGAATGTAACAAGTTTATTCGGTTTACGAATTTTTGTTTCTTGTCCGTTTCTAAATCTTCGATAATTTGGAACTAAATGTGATTTGCGATTTATTCAATATAATTACTATCTTTTAAAAGCTATTTACTAAATACGCATTGAATAAGATTGTTGAATGTAACAAAAGTAAATTTATCTGTATTCAGAATACGATTTTTTTTTTGATTCCCGAATCTTCAAAAGCTTGAAACTAAATGTAACAAAAATATGTTTATTATGTATTCGGTATTCGAACTATTGTTTATTACTCGTTTATTAGTCTTCCATTCATTGGAACTAAATTTATTTTGCGGAATATTCAATATATTTCATATCGTCAAAAGCTATTTACTAAATAAGTATTTAATAAGATTGTGGAATGTAACAAGTTTATTTGGTATACGAATTACGAATATAAACTTTTGTTTATTACTGGTTTATTAGTCTTCGATTCATTGGAACTAAATTTATTTTGCGGAATATTCAATATATTTCATATCATCAAAAGCTATTTACTAAATAAGTATTTAATAAGATTGTGGAATGTAACAAAAACTAAGTTTATTCGGTTTACGAATTTTTGTTTATTGTCCGTTTCTAAATTTTTTTTGTAACTAAATGTGATTTGCGATATATTCAATATAATTACTATCTTTTAAAAGCTACTTACTAAATACGCATTGAATAAGATTGTTGAATGTAACAAAAGTAACTGTATTCAGTATACGAATTTTTGTTGATGCCCGATTCTTCAAAAGCTTGAAACTAAATGTAACAAAAATATGTTTATTATGTATTCGGTATACGAACTTTTGTTTATTACTGGTTTATTAGTCTTCGATTCATTGGAACTAAATTTAATTTACGAAATATTCAATATATTTCAGAAGATCGGAAAACGAATTTTCTTTTGCCGCCCTATTCTAAATTTTTACAATGCTTGGAACTAAATTTCATTTAGCGTTATCTATAAAAGCGATCTACAAAATACGTAACTAATAAGATTGTTGGATGTGTGTATATATAAGAAAATTAGTTCTCTATTCGGATGTTGGAATACGGAATTCTGGGAAGCTGTAATGTGATCTATGTCTGAATATATATATATATATATACTGAGGGATGGCAACAGGTGGCAAGCACACTTGAGCTGCTGGTTCCCAACAACATCCCTTGTTGTTTTTTAAGTAGCCTTTTTTTTTCCCCTTCGGAAATAATGGTGAAGACAGAGGGGACCGCCAATTAACATAACACTCATTGCCCATGGGCTTTATCGCGATTAGTGGGCTTAAATGTATTTGTTTTACACACACCATCGCGTGTAATTGGAACCGACCAGGGAGAGGGCTGAGCGCGCCTAATTTGTGGAATCACTCATTAAGGCAATTAACGCATTAATTTTCCTAATTAAATTTACATTGTGGGAAAATGAATTAAAGTAAAGTTCATGCATGTTCGCAGATGGAGCTGGAGGTGCTGGAGCCCTACGATTACCTCGACGAGGAGGCCTTCTACGAGCCGAATTTGCCGACGAAAGCGGCCTCGACGTCGCCGATCAAGCGTCGCGTCACTTTCAACAACAAGAGATATTACGCTAAGGTAAGAAGTATTTTTTTTCTCACAATATCCAAAATATAGTATCACATGTTTTATTCTTTTATTTCATTATCTTATCGGAAATATTTTATTATCTCAATAGATTTTTTAGCAAAATCGACAAGGTTAACTAATCTTAATTGTACAACACAATACAGTAGATATCTATATTCGTAATCGCAATTCTGTAACCGAAGTAAAAACATAATAAATTTGAAGAAATAAATACAACATTATGTAATAACATTTTTGAATTTTTGATAGTTAATTCAATGAGTCAGATAAAACAAATGATGTGACTTATTGATACTGATCTCACTAAACGCGTATTTGGTGCTGCTTCAAATATGGTAGTAAGTACCATTGAAATAATATGTGCGCGAGTTAAATAATTAATATATTTAAATTGAATGAACGCAGGTTTTATTTTATTTTTTTCTCTTTTCCATTTACGACCTCCACCGACAAAGATAAATGACCGTAAACATAAGTTTTCTCCCCTTCAATAGTGGCGCCAACGGCAGATCCGCTTGTATCCCAAAAAAAAGTTTTCTAAAAACTAAAGTCGTAAAATTTTTAATGACCTGTTAATATTGATATTTTTATTATTTAATATTAATACGTGTAGCTTTTCATTTTGCTCGTATGCAGTAAATTTAAAGCTTTCGTCACGAAGCTGGTGGTATTCACACGGGAGCGCCTCAATAAAAGTATTGAATTACGAATGTGAAGAAAAAAAGTATTCAAAATTACTCTACCTGATGGACAGGTTTTGCAGGCGTCTCGAAGCTCGCGCTCCATATGCTTTGGCAGAGCGAATTTCTCTTTTTTTTTTTAAATAAACTTGGCTGAAAATAAATTTTAAATGAGTTTAGTGAATATGATATGATTGTTTTTACGTTTGGGAAGTTCGGGAGTTTCTAAAAGCACCATTTTTTTTTCTGTGAAATTAGGATCAGGGACAAATGTTTTGGCTCTTGAAAGGTACAATAGAGCAATTTAAACATAGACGAGCAAATTTTGTACGACCATCGTCCTTTTGGGGAATTTCTAGAAAAATTTTAAATTTTAAGAAAATAAAGAAAGAGAAACTTTGGTCATTAGCCTTTTCTCTGAAAGGACCAATACATTTTAATGTTATTGTTACTAAGAAAAATAATATTATTGTCACTCAACTTCTAATATTTTTAAATATTTTAATAACAAATATTCAAAGTTGGACAATAATTGGACAATAATCTATGATACAAAAATGTCAGAATATCAACACATTTTGATAATAATTGAAAATTTGACTGTAGTTACTTTTTAGTAACCAAATTATGTTTGGAAATTGTGCGTTTATACTGTTTTATATTATTAAAAAAAATGTTGAAAAATGTTAAAAGTTAGGTAGAAATGTAAACTCGTTACAATAATAGTTTCCTGGGACATAAAACCTCATAAAATTAATACTAATTAATATATAGTAGACATCAATTGAAAGATAATGAATGTAAAGGCGTGCATGTTAAAAATATGGCCTGGGGAGTGTGCGGAATCGAAGAAGAAAAAAAAAACTGGAAGAGAGAGAGAAGCCTTAGTTGATACCGAGAGGTATCGGACATAATGAGCGTACTTCCTTTTTGGACGACGCCATTCAGCCTAGTACTATCACTTCCGGTGCTAATTTAACCCGCTTCGTTGCTCGCAATGATTAGCCCCTTCAATCAGATACTACCCCAAATAACGAAGCGTCTCTCCCTGCACATCCTTTTATTTCGAAAAATCACCGAGCGTTAAGAAAAAAAGAAATACAAGTAAAGTCACAAAGAATGAATTGTTAACGCTGTGCTAGATCGCAGCGATTCGTTCCATAGAAAACGTGTAGTTCAGATCTTAATTATTGTACTGAAATAATTAGTTTGTTTATATATTGATGTTTTCCAACATTTAACTTGAATTATAGCAACGTGATAATTGTAATGTACTTTTTTTTTAAAGAAAACTGGTAGAAGCAATCATATTTAGAAATGGCGATCCAGTAGACTCTGCGGTGGAGCAACTCTATATTTTAATAAGATTGCATTCCAGCAAGTTTTGTCGCAATTCTCTTATTTCCCAGTTTTACCAGTTAAAATTGCATACGCGTACACGTTTTTTTTTTTGTATTTTCCTTTAATTTGTTTCTTTTCTTTTTGTGCGTTTGTGTGCAAATAATATAATTATCTCGGTGATCCTGATATAATGCTTCCTAGATTGATCTGATCCTTTTTCGCCGCGTTTAACGAGTGTACATTTCATTAGTACCGTTTCGTAAAACGTTTCCCCGTGCCCGGTATGGAGTAAGCAAGAAGCTATCATCATCTGTAGCTTGTAGCGTCGCGTTCTATCGAGGGGAAATACCATGGCTCAGCATTCCGATTCCATTGATCTACGTTGCCGTGTTTAAAAATAAACCACCCTTCCCTCTAAATGAATGGTCGCACTAAACTTACTTGATACTTTTGCATTAGTTTCTTCGCGCATGATTTATCACACCCTCCGGAATGTTTTACTACTTTATATTTACATTTTCTTCATTTTGTTCTCTTCAAATAGCTTGTGTTAGATGATGTATATATTGTATAAATTGCTCATCAAAATCCTAGACATTTTTCTTTAATAGCTTGTATTATCTTACGTCTGCTCTTTATACGGCTTGTTTCGTTATACGGCGAAAACATGATGTACTTTACATTTTTATAGGAAATAAAATGATTGATTCGTTATAGTCGGCTTTCATCTTTACGGACTTTTTGGGAACTTAGGACGTAAAGTCAGGTATGCGTGTATTGTTAAATTTCCTCAAGACTAGAAAAATGAGATAGATGAAAGTTTAGGTATTTTCATCGCTTAGATTTATTAGTTTTTTGTTTTGCATTTCGTGTACGCGATTCTGCGTCTTGTGGACGACGTTGCGTTTTATTTTTGAATTGCAGCTGCATTCGTTGCGTTTTTGTTTGATGTATAATGCTTTCCTAGAGTGGCTACGGATCGTTGCCAAAATTTATTTGAGATATCGAGAACTATTAGTTTATTTATTTACGCGCCACGTTTATTATTTATAGCGATCGAAATTTCTTCAGCTGCTATTTCAAACTGTTTTCTATTATAAACGTTTAGTTTAAGTTTTTGTTATCTCTCCTTATATATTATGATTTTTTTTTTGATTCAATCAATTCATACACACACTAGAGATTTTATTTTACCTATTGATTTTACGCACGTTTATTATTTAATTATTTCTTCAACCATTTTTCATTTAGTTTAAGCGAAATTAATTGAAGCTAGAAACAAATTTCGATGAGTGTATGCAATTGTAAATAAACAAGTAAGATTATTTACGTTTTTTTAAAGTAATTTATATGAATTGTATCATTATATAAAGTACACTTATTTAGTTATAATATTTTAGTAGTTACCAGAATTGGACCGAGGAAAATCTCAGATTTTACTTACAATAATGTTTCTAGTTTCTATGCTTTATAAAATATCATGCTTGGAGTAAATGTAAAGACAAAAAAGTGCTTTAGCTTAAATTATACTCGAGAAAATTGAAATTAAGCATTTTTTTCCATTCTCAAATGTATTTTTCAAAAATAAATATATAATTAAACAGTAATGTTGGTACATTTAAAAACAATAGTAAATTTGGTAAAAAGTTTTGAAAAAATGTAATTAATATGAAAAAAAAGTATTAATTGTTGTAGTTGATTAAAATGTGAATCTAGTTGTTAAATTAATTATCAAGACTAGACAATTTTTTATAATTTGATATTTAATTTATAAAATGTAAATCTAGTTGTTAAATGTAGTAAACTGATTATTAAATAATTAAGAATTTAAATTATTTTCTATCGTCACATTTTGCTTTTCACTATTCAACAGTGACTAGACCTATTTTATAATTTAGTATTTATTAAAAAAAAATTGAATAAATTGTTAAAATGTAAATCCGGTTGTTAATTGTGTTGAACTGATTATTAAATAATTAAAAATGTCAGTTGCATTGCATGACACTGCCTCCTCCTGCTGCATAGGAAGCAGTAATAATAGGTTAGCCTTCGTGTAAAATTATAATGGAGTCAAGTTCTAGGCTAAATAAATAACATTTCTCCTCCATTCATAAGCGCACTGCGTGGATATACAGACGTACACATTACGTTTTTTTTTCTACTTCTATATGATTCTTTCTGGCTGCATTTGATGACATTCAAAAGTACACGGGCGGAAGTGTTTGAGCTTACTTGCGCCCCTGCACCGGATGTCAAATATAATTATATCACGGCATTGCCACTCAGGTGTAGACTGAAATAAGTAGCGGACAAAAAGACGGATTTACTTTTTTTTTCGTCATCTTCTATTTCGCTTTTGTAAAAAGATACCACCTCGTGTGACAAGTCATTAGAATTCTTCTTAGATCATTAGGTCTCAACGTACACGCATATGGATTGCTTCCTTTTTTTTAAATACTAAAAAACAAACAGAACAAGAGGAAACTTTGATGTTTCACTTTTTCCGTATCAGACAAAAAGGGAGGAGGGTGACAGTTATTTCAGTTGTTTCCGGCTTCTGACGAAACCAGAAATAGAATCGGAAACGCGTTCGATCGGTTAACGATTTCATTATAAATAAATAAATAGGAGAAGTGGCCGAGCCCTGTTTGTATGTTTCAATGCTTGTTATTTTTTTTTTATTATTATTTCTGTACCTACACTGCACGGCGCATGCAAATGGCTCATTACGGATGCATTTTATTAAATATTCCGTTGCAGTTCCACCTCTTCCAACGCCACTTTGATCGAACAATAGAAACTCTGCGTTGAAAACGAAATGAATGTTTATCGAATCATCGAGGCACGGATCAAAAATATTAAAAGACTCTGCATGTCTTTACACGAGTCTCAATGTTAACACAACACAATTACATATTTCTATAAGTTATTTGTTTCATTTTTCTTAAGTATTTTATATACATTTTC